TCCTTTCCCTCCTTCTTTTTGTACGTCTGATTTTTCATCTTCAATTGAGCTTCTAAATTTTTCATAAAACACTTGTGCCTTGAAAATTGAATCCAGCTTATATCTTGCAGAGTTCCAGGTGAAGAATATTCCTTCTGGTGTTAACCACCTAAACATAATCCTCTTCTTGGTCAACTTCATTGTAAGGGATAAATATTTCTTTCATTCTTCTCTGATCCTCCATGGTATTTGTTTAAGAACAGTCAACTCATGGTGATTGTCAATTTTTAAAGGTTTATCTTGTACAGACCTAAGAACATATCAATTACAGACCTTTCTGCATATTTAACATGAACTTCCCTGGGTAGTTTAAAGGTTTATCTTGTACAGTCCTCAGAACATTACCACTTACAGATCTTTTTGCAAATTTGACATGAACTTCACTGGGTAGTTTGTGTATTCTAACATAGCTTGAGTTAACTCTGTAAACAAGATCAATATTTCTATCCATCTATTCCTTTTCCAAATCCAACGCATCTGCCAGCAGGGTAATTATTAATTCCCTTAGATCTTCATTCTTTCCATCAGCTATGTTCTGGAATCTTCAGTAATTTGATGCCTTCTCCATCTCTAATACAGCGACTGAATCCCATAATGACTTATTTGTTAGTTTTAATAGTTGTGTTTCTTTATCCACTGTTTCAAGTTTTGCATAGGCTTGTTGTATTTTTTGTTTATTCAGTTCAGTTTTAAGTTGAACATCTGTTAGTTGATAAGCTACATCCCTAGCAGAATGGTCCAATTTATCCATTCTTTCTCTTTGTTCCATCACCATGTTCTTTTGTTCCACAGTCATATTCTTTTGTTCTAAAGTCAATTTTAATTTTGCATAGCCTCTTGGAATGCTTGCACAGATGTTAGAGATGCTTGTATCACCAAAAGTGTCATTTGTAGATCTTTATGGTATTTTTTGTCACCTGCAGTTTGGAACTGATGAGTTCCAATGAGTTCTGGGTAGCCAATGTAGGTGCCAATGAGGAGGAGGGGTGTGTTGTTTCATAGGACTGTGATTTTTTGCTGGTAGCTACAAAATAACAGCAAGAAATCCTCCAGAGAGAAAGGAGGAGGCTTGTTTAATACACAATGTATCTGTTATAAGTAAAATGGCCACGGGGTGGCAGCAAAGAGTTGCTTGTTGATGTGACGTCACCAGAAAGAAAAATGTCTCTGAAGCCTGTATAACCAGCAAGGAAGAAGAAAGACTTTTCTATCAGTTAATCTGCAATAATTTATATTTTAATTATTCACCCCTGGGGAGGTTAAAGAGCTTTTCTTTTCCAAGCCTCAGCTTTCTCAGATCTCAGTTCATCTTCCCTAAATTAGAGGCCGATAAAACTCTGTGGGGGGTTGGGATTCCTCCCTACATAAAAAGGGCTTATCTTTTTTCTTTTATCCAGATTAATATTTGCTTCACGTTCTTTCATGGGTAATATCTTGAAAAGTAGAAATGCTCACCCAGCAGGTCTGAAGTGTTTCAGGCTTTTATTCTTTGCTATAACCAGTCATCGATGGCTTGCAGGGAGTGGATCTTTTCCTTGTGTCATTCGAATGAGAAAATCCTAAGTTTGTCCCAGCAGATGCAGAGCCACTGCTCTGCACCGGCCAGATGTGTGCTCAGACTTCTAGTCCCTTCCCCAACCGGGCTTGGATGGGCCTCTCATGGCACCCTGTTAAACAGATTACTGGTGTGATTTACGGGACACCTGTTCTACACAGCCGTCTCACCACGACGTCAACCAGAAGTCTTCCCTACCTCACAGGGTTCTTGTTGTGGGGATAAGATGGAGGAGGAGATGTAAGCTGTCTTAAGCCCCTTTTAGGAAAAAGGCAGGATATAAATCGAAAAATGAATAAATAAATATACAGAAAACCACCTACCGGATCTTATTTATTTCTGTTTATTTGGTGAATGTGTACCCCTTTAGTACATGTGAAAATACTCCTGGACACAGAATTTAAAGGAATCTAAGAACTAAACAGTTATATTTTTACATTGATAAAATAAAAAGTAGGATTCGTAAAGAGTATCACATCTAACACTTGTAAGAGTAATAAGGTTTGACGAGAGGGCATGGCTGGCTTCCTCTGATGGGGAGTTCCACTGCCATAAAACTGATTTCCCGAAAGTTGAGTTCATGGAGTGTCATTTCCTTAATTTGGAGGTTTTGTACAATTCGAAGAAACACATGAACATGGAAAGACGCTTACTAGATTGTAACTCTGGAATGGAAAGTCCAAGAACACATTTTACACTAGAATTCTTCAGTGAGGGAAAAGTCCTCCAGGGCACAATGCAAGCATGTGTGGGCAAAAGAAGCCTACCATGTCAGCACCCCTACAGCCAAGGATGCCGGATGGAGCACGCTGGCTACTGAAGAACTTTTTGCTCCCAAAACCCACATAGCAGTGAGCCCTGACTGGTTTATGTTTCTGGATTGCACCTCCCAGAGATTGGAGATATGCTCAGAAATATTTTGGGAATGAGGGAAGAATCACCTAAAGGACCATTCAGTTAAAGCATAGATTTAGTGCACTGGGATAAAGAGCTTTGGTAGCTATTTAAAGAACTGAAAAAAATTTGAGACACCAAAAATGGAAATATGCCTCCTTGCATTTTTGTTCCCTTATTTTTGAATTACAATCTCAAACACATTGCTGTAAGAAGAAATCTATGTTGACTCCTTTTCATAGATGTTGGCTTAAATCTAGATAAGTAATCAGATTTTCATTCATTTCAGATATGGCAACCTGCATCAAATGTCCAGGACACCAGTATCCCAATAATGAAAAAACACAATGCATTCCCAGGATTCCCAGTTTCCTCTCCTATGGGGAATCTCTTGGGGTCAGTTTGACCACCTTGGCTCTTTCCTTCTTCTTCATCACTGCTGTAGTGTTTGGACTCTTTCTGAAGCACAAGGACACCCCAATAGTTAAAGCCAACAACCGAAGCATCACCTACATCCTCCTCTTCTCCCTCCTTCTTTGCTTCCTCTGTCCCTTGCTCTTCATTGGGAAACCAGGAAAGGTGACCTGCCTTCTCCGACAAATCGTTTTCAGCACAGTCTTCTCAGTGGCCCTTTCCAGCATCTTGGCCAAAGCCATCACTGTGCTTCTGGCATTCATGGCAACCACTCCTGGGTCCAGGATGAGGAAAAGGATGGGGAAAGGACTAGCCACTTCGATCGCCTTTTGCAGCTCCTTGGTTCAGGCAGCCATTTGTACAGTCTGGGTGTGCATGATCCCTCCATTCCCAGATGTTGACATGCAATCACTGGGTGGTAAAAAATATTCTGGAATGCAACGAGGGCTCTACTACCATGTTTTACTGTGTCTCGGACTATCTGAGCTCCCTGGCAATTTTCAGTTTCATTGTGGCTTTCTTAGCCTGGACGTTACCTGACAGTTTCAATGAGGCCAAATTCATCACCTTCAGCATGTTGGTGTTTTGCAGTGTTTGGCTCTCCTTTGTCCCACCCTACCTGACCACCAAAGGCAAATATGTGGTGGCTGTGGAGATCTTCTCCATCTTATCCAGTGTTGGTCTGCTGGATTGCATCCTCTGCCCTAAATGCTACATTATTGTACTCAGGCCTGAGATGAACAGCAGGGAGCTCCTAAACAGAAGGAAAAAGTGAAAGACTATGTTTTTCTCCTTATGCTGAGGTTTACCTCAGTAGAAATCTGAATGGAGGGTCATATATGTGTTCTTGCACAGGTGAACACCTCAGCTTAAATTCTTTTGAGCAAATTTAAGTAGGTATGGCCTACTCAATGATATCTTCATCTCACATGCACTTACATATGATTTGATCTATTATCATGATTTCATTTTATTACATTTCTATATTGCCCACAACCAAAGTTCTCTGAGCAAGTATCATGGATTTTATGGTCTAGCTCCCCGCATCCCTGACGAAAAGTGAATGTTGTTATTGACACCATGGTAATGAATGAGAATTGACAAAGTTTGTGCCAATGTGTAATGGAACAACATGTCCTCCCATTTTTATGTTGTTTGCTGCTGTATATTATGAAGTTCAATAAAGATATGGTTTCTGTGCTAGTCAATCTCAGCTGGGCATACAAGATATAAAAGACAATACAAGCATTGGAAATTGTGGCTTATTGAAAACATGTTTCATTGTAACTCCTGAACTTATAACTATTTTTGAGATGGCTCATTCTAAAGGCAGGTGTCCAGGAAAATCAGACTGACTCTGAATTCTGGCAAACTAGGGAGCAGAATAACAAACCTGAGCTTTTCTACCCCATCCCAAGGGGCTAGTGGTGGATGGGATAGAAAAGTTTTCAATAACTAAATGAATCAAAAATCAAGCAGACTAGCCATGATTTCCATTATATCTGGAATGCAATTCATGACTAGGCAACTAACTATACTTGCAATTTATTGTTTTAAGTGGTTTTTCACCATTTTGTTGGGAAATTGAATAAATGACTAGGAAATAAATTAGCAAATCAATAGATAGGAAAAAAGTATTTTAAAAGGTCTGTTGAAGCCATGTCTAAGAATACCACTCAAGTAAGAGTGTGATTAATATATGACTTGGAAAAAGATCCCTTCCAGTGTCTCGAACCTAATACAACTTCAAAAGTTATCAACACCCTGGGGAGGTGATAGTGTCCCATAGCATTGTCTAAATTACTGTTTTCCATCTGTTGCTCAATACATTTCCCCAGCACACAGACAAGACAGCATCTGGAAAGAAGTCAAATATATTATTCCACACTGGAGGACAAATTGGTATGCACAATTTGCTCAACCATTTTACTGGTGCACAGATTTCCCAATATGCCAGGCAATAAATCAGGTCAGATAGAAATGCAAGCATTCACAACTGAATATAGAATTGGCTACATCTGAAAGCAGAACTTATTAAAGCCATAGCATGTACATTGACTTTTGTGGGAGAGGTTTTCAATGCAGTTTGCTTGCGGTGATGGTGCTTCTCTCACTGCTTCTTCCACATCATGCTGTGTGCAGGAGACATTCTATCAATTGCACCACAACCAAGGATCCTCTCCCTATTCCTCATAAATTTTATCAGCCAGGTGATCTTGTCATTGGTGGGATTGTTTCTCAGGTCTTCTTCCTCCATAATATCCTTTCTTTTGTGGAACAACCTGCACAGACACGTCTCGGTGAACCGATGTAAGGCATTGTTTCTCCTCCTCCTTTCCTTTATATTTGCAGTTCATTATGAAAATGGACCATGCCCATCCAGCACCATTTAGCAACTTCCTTGTGCATGCTTGCTTGGCAAAAACACTTCTGGATCTTTAGTATATATGCCACATGTTGAAAAAAGAGGAGATCTATTTTTTCCATCTCCCTTCTTCATTCTCTCTCATCATTGGTCAATCCTCATTCCAAACCTGTCTTCTGAATTACTAATTTCATATGATTCTACTTTGGAAATATTTTCTTCTGAAAAATAGTGGACTGGTCCATTCCACCATTCACTACTCTGCAATTTCTGGGATCTTGACTCCAAATTTAGATGAGTTTGTAGAAATCCCTTTTCTCTCTTCCACTTTAAGTATTTTCTCAAATTCCATATACTTCAGGAGCATGACCTCAATTTCATTCCTATGCCTTTGATACCAAGTAATATGAATCATCTTCTAGTAGTATTGTTGACTGGTATCATGCCATTGGATATTTTATCTATGGAACAAAGATTCTCTGTGATGAGTCTAAGTGTAGACTACTTGTAAAAAGCAAATACATATGGTCTCTTTACGGGATTTTACTGTTTGTGCTACTCTCATATAGACACAAAACTTTTCACTGTGATGAAACCATCCTCTACTGTATTAAGCACTGGACAGATTCCATAATGTTTCAAGCATTAAGTTTCTCAAGGGCAAAAATGCACATTTTGAAGTGTTTTCTTCCTTTTACATCCCTCTCTTAATGCCATTTGCACTGCCATGTGATGTTTTTTAAGCCTATAGCTTGATCTTGAAAACAAAATCATGATGATGAAGATGATGATGCTCTGAATCAAACAGTCTGTCACTCTTCTTCCAGTTCTGTGCCCAAGAACTACCAACATGTCCTGGCCTTGGCATTTGCTGTGAAAGAGATCAATGAGGATCCACAAATCTTACCCAATATCTCTCTGGGCTTCCATATCCTTAATAGCTACTACACTGCAAGGATGACCTTCAAGGCCATCCTGAACCAACTTTCCACACAGCACAGATTTGTCCCCAACTTCAGGTGTCACAACCAGAATAATGTGATTGCTCTCATTGGAGGATGCCTCTCTGAAATCTCTGCCAATATAGCTATCCTTTCAGCAGCTCATAAGACACTGCAGGTAAGCGGATTCATGTATGCCCACAGTTTTCATAGGTTTGGCATAGTATCTTCACTTCTGTCAAGCTTCTGATGAATTCTATAATCAGTTAGTGGTTTCATTAGATGCAAAGGATCAACCTTGGTAGGCATATTCACCCCCTGTCCTTGTATATTAACCCCTTGTCTTTAAACCAGAGTCTGAATCTGACTCCTCATCAAAGTGGAAGGTGGTTTTAGTGGAGTTCCACTGGACTCTACACCAACCCTCTCATTTTCATGCTACTGCATCAGTGACTTAGATGGAAGAATGGAAAGGATCCATATAGAACTTGTGGAGGGCATAATACCAGAAAAGGGTGGTTAACATTTCAAAATGTGTGCCAAAATTCAAGATTTTAGAATGGAAATCCTCTGCAAGTTAAAAATCTCTAACACCATAGAAAGAAATGCAAATTTTGAATTTAGAGAAATGAACAAAACAAAATCCTGCATGGGGTGGTACAGGTGTAAAGAACTCCAAACGTATAATCAGTTGCACCATTCAAATCCTTTATTTGTGCTTCTAATTATTCTAGAAAATCAAACACATAAGCAAAGAGAAAACTATACTTTAAAAACAGGTTAAGTATATACAACCAAGCACCAAACCTCAAGAAAAGTGAAAGGAGGGAACACAAATCCAACTCGAAGTATGTATGTACCCAACACTAACAATATTTTTTGATACCTTTGAAAAAACAGGTTCACCTCCTCCTCCCAAAAGCCCATGTTTTGACATTTTCCTCCATTACCAGCCTCGGGCCCAATGTAATGAGGGAATAATGTTTGCATGCACATTGGTACTGAGAACAGCACTGCAGAGAATCATCACTGATTAGAGGACATGTCAGCAAAGATATTCAGCTTGGCTTCTCATTGACTGATTTTGGGGACTTTGTGCAAACATGAGAGTCGCTTAGCACTGCTCTTTTAAGTGTGCAGGTTTTTAAAGGTCCTTAACAAAAGGTACAATCTCATATGCCTTGTACAAGGGAATTTCACCCATCAATTCTGAAAATCAGTTGTGATGAGGAGAAACATTGGGGAGCTCTACCGAGTGTATCCAAGCTCATCTTTAAACCACCAACTAGCATTAAAATGCTTACTTAAGGGACTACAAGTAGTAGAACATTGAGTAAGAATATGTTTAAATTACAAGAAGAATGAAATATCATCTCTGAGTGGAGAGTACATTGGTCTCTTCATAATTCATGACTTTAAAACCATGACTTTATTTTTCAGACAATTACCTTTGGCAGAGGGAGGAATGTAACATTTTTGGTTCCAGTCACCATGAACATGAGCATTTCTAGAATATGAAAGAAATGTTACTTTTGTAAAATTGAATGCCTTAATGCTACAACTACAGGAGACTAGGGAAATTCTGTGGGTGCATTAACTTCAGCAGGGACACCACTGCTATGATGCCTGTAATGCATATTTTCCTAAGAAATCTGACTGCTGAATTCAGAGTCTCTTCTACACCATTCTTCTTGCAACAGTGCTTAGGATTGCAGTGGATGACATGCAATTTTATCTGCATGAATGAAAATATAGTCAGCACACTGTGAAAAATGAGAATTCCATTTTTTTTTTTTTTTTTTTTTGTACAGGTCTTCTTTTGGATCCAGTTCAGGGTACTGCATTTTAAGATTATACTCAGATGGGGAGAGGGGTCGGGGGTCAGAGAAGTGGAAAGGGGTATGTAAAGCAAGGCTCTCAATTCAAGTTTAAAGATACTTTGCATGTTTAGCCTAGGGAAGAGGAGAGTAAAGTGGGAGATCATACAGCTTGTCAATAACCTGAATGGCCATCACAGAAAAGAGGGCAAAGACTTGTCCTCCACTCTGCAGAAGACATGCCTAGATCTTCACTTAACATTCAGAAAATAAAACCTTAACACTAAACATAGTCAAGCATTGGAACTCAATGACCATGGGGGATGCTCTTTTCAAATGGTGACATTTAAAACAAAAGCTACTCAACAACCTGATATGGGATATAACTTTCAGTATCCTGCATGACATGGTTTCCTTGCCCATATGAACAACAGGAACGCATGCTACTCTATATTTCCATGATTTAAGAATGTCTCCAATCTATCCAAACATATTTATTTTCAGTTCACCTACGGATCATTTCTGCTGCCAGAAGATGCAAACAAACAAATGCCTTTTTTGTACCAGATGATTCCTAAAGAAGTCCAGCAATATATGGGAGTCGTGCAACTGCTTCAGCATTTTGGATGGATATGGATTGGGCTTGTAGCTGTGGATGATGACAGGGGGAACAGGTTTTTAAGGAAAATGGTACCAATGCTTTCTCAGCATGGAATCTGCTATGAATTCATAATAAGGATCCCAAAATGGTCTTATATAGATGAGATGATTGCCTTGGGTTGGAAGGACAGGAAGAACTTTGAAATTGTTTTTGAGAGCAAAGCCAATGTTTTCTTTATCTATGGAGAGCCTCCATCATTTCAAGTACTGAGAATGTTAGCGTTTGTAGCACCCATCTTGGGATTGCCACCACTGGGGAAAGTGTGGATTGTTACTTCTCACTGGGATTTTGCATCAATGCCTCTTCAAAGAACATGGGATACACAAACTTTCCATGGATCCTTATCATTCAGTGCTCATTCAAACCAGCCCTTAGGATTCCACAAGTTTGTGCAGATGGTTAGACCCACTTGGGCCAAAGGAGATGGTTTCATCCAAGATTTTTGGGAAAATGCATTCAACTGTTTACTAAGCATGGCTGATGTGATGCAGGAGGACAAAGAGAGCTGCTCAGGGGATGAGAAGCTGGAGACTCTTCCTGGAATCTTGTTTGAAATGAACATGACGGGCCACAGCTATAATGTCTACAATGCTGTTTATGTTGTGGCATATGCTTTGAAAGCAGTATATGAATCCAGCTCCAAGCACAGAACATGGGTGGGAAGAGAAAGACTGGCTGTACAGAATGTCCAACCATGGCAGGTAGCTGTACCACAGTACTGCAGTGCAGAACAATGGTACTTAAAACATTCAAGGAATTGTAGCTCTGCATACAATAATTACATTTCCCCCTTTTGGTAAATATATTTATTGTAGCACAAGTCTGCCTGGGATTGATCCAGATTTAGTGGTGCTTAGTGGTGACACACAGAAATCAGTGAGACCAGGAACTTCCATGAGTCTCCACTACAAAAGTCCATGCAGCTCTGATCTATTCAAATTATTTTATCCAAATGACCATGATGGAGATATCTAGATTGGAACAAGCCCAAGAGGTGCTCATTGATGCAGTATGAAGATCATGTTCTCCCTTTCTTCATATTCTTTCCAAATCCAGCTCCATCACTTTCTAAGCAGCATCTCGTTCAATAACACTGTTGGAGACACTGTGCATTTTAATGAAAATGGAGAGTTGGTTGCAGAGTTTGATGTTACCAACTGGCTGATGTTACCCAATGGATCAGTGGTTAGATTAAAAGTTGGAAGTCTGGACCCCCAGGCTCCTGCAGGACAAGAGTTAACCATTGATGATGACCAAATCAGGTGGCATGCAAGCTTTAATCAGGTGAGTCACAGCTGCAAATGCTCAAATATTTAGATGTTCCTCTTTATACATGGGGCATTTACAAGCAATTTGGCCACCGTGTCTTATGATAGGAGTGGTCCAGTAACAGATACTGTGTCTGTCAGTCTTGTGGCAGGTACTCGGAAGCTCACAAAAGTGGGGGTTTAAGAGGCTTGAGGTTCACAAGACAAAACAAGGCTTAATCTTGTTTGAGCCCATTATTACAAGCCAGAGGGTGTGTTCCTGCTGAGTCAACCCATTCCCGAGGCACAGGCATATACTGTTCCTCTTTCTCTCTTCTTCTTTGCAGGCTCTGCCACTTTCTGTGTGCAACGACAACTGCTATCCAGGATACAGCAGGAAAAAGACGGAGGGGGAGCCATTTTGCTGCTATGACTGTGCTGCATGTCCAACGGGATTGATCTCCAACAGGAAGGGTAGGAGGCATCATGTACACAGAGAGACATCTACTGGATCTTATTCATCACTGTTTATTTTGTGAATGTGAACTTCAGTGAACAAGAAAATATTCCCCCACACAGAATTTAAAAGAATCTAATGACAAGACTGTTCTTTTATTGGACAGACTAAATAAAAATAGGGTGCCCAAAGTTCATCCACTACATGTTAGCTCTAACATCTGTCAGAATAAATAGTGGTGATGGGAGGGCTTGGCTGGCTTCCTTTGGCAGGGAGTTCCACTTCCTGATCAAGGATTGATTTCTCCATTATTGAGTGTATTGAGTGTCATCTCCTCAACAGGAAGGTTTCATACAAATGTAACAAACAGATAAATATTGTAAGACACTATGCACTTTACAACTTGGGAACTGGTAGCCCAAGAAGAGATTCTACACGAGAATTCATTAGTGGGCCAAAAGGTCCTCTAGGGCACAATACAAGCATTTGTGTGTGAAAGAAGTCAACCATGCAAAGCACAGGTCCATATTGGCAGCTGCTGTAGGATGGCTGTGTGATGTGCGAGGAGCATGTTCCCTGGGATTTAAGAGCTTCCCAAATGCAATTGACAAATAAACAGCTTATTATTTAAAATACGGCCACCACTCAAAAATGGAAACTAGAATATAGCACATAATGTGCAAAATGCTGTAGTGCAATTTCACTTGATAAAAAGGTTTGTCTTACAACTACTTCCACACTATAAATGAGGCCTAATGCAAAGAAAATATAATTTTTACTAAAGGTTACCAACTGAGTACATAGCTAGATACATGAATTAGGACTCTATTGTCTCCTGTGCTACTGTAAAAAAGTACAGAAAACTACAAAAGAACAAATCATACATGGTAGGGGAGATAGAGGAACACTGAAAAAGCAATTTTATAGTTTCCTTCAGCAGAAGTTTGCTAGTTTTTTTTTCAAATTCTTGATCAGCCTTTCCTTTTTTCAGACATGGATGCCTGTGTCAAATGTCCAGAAGAGCAGTATCCCAGCAAGGAAAAAACCCTATGCATCCCCAGGGATCTCAGCTACCTCTCTTATGGAGAAGCTCTAGGGATTGCCTTGATTTTCTTAGTGATTTGTTCCTCATCCACCACAGCTCTTGTGTTTGGAATTTTTCTCAAGCACAAGGACACCCCCATAGTTAAAGCCAACAACCGAAGCATCACCTACATCCTCCTCATCTCCCTCCACCTCTGCTTCCTCTGCCCCTTGCTCTTCATTGGGCAACCGGGAAAGGTGACCTGCCTTCTCCGACAGGTGGTTTTTGGCATTATCTTCTCTGTGGCCCTTTCCAGCATCTTGGCCAAAACCATCACTGTGCTTCTGGCATTCATGGCCACCAAGCCAGGCTCCAGGATGAGGAAACGCATGGGGAAAGGACTGGCCAATTCTATTTCACTTTCTGGCTCCTTAATTCAAGCAGCCATTTGTGCACTTTGGCTAAGCACAACCCCTCCATTTCCAGACATGGACGTACGTTCACTGGATGAAAAAATCATTCTGGTATGCAATGAGGGTTCCAATGCCATGTTTTATTGTGTCTTGGGCTATCTGAGCTCCTTGGCAATAGTCAGTTTCATTGTGGCTTTCTTAGCCAGGAAGTTGGCCGACAGCTTCAATGAGGCCAAGTTCATCACCTTCAGCATGCTGGTCTTCTGCAGTGTGTGGATGTCCTTTTTTCCAGCCTACCTGAGCACCAAAGGGAAGTATGTAGTCTCCGTGGAGATCTTTGCCATCTTGTCATCCAGTGCTGGGCTGCTGAGTTGCATCTTTGGCCCTAAATGCTACATTATTGTACTCAGGCCTGATCTGAACAACAAGGAGCAGCTAATACGAAGGAGGAACTGAAAGGATGTAATGTTCTATTAATTCTATTAAACATTTTATTAAACGTATGATTAACAGAACCACTGACCTCTGATTTTGATTGGATTAACCCATATACAACAGAAAGACAGTCTAGCTCAATTTGCTGAATGCATTTATTTCTGGTTATTTTATTTTTATATCTTTTTCCCCATACACCCTCCCACCCCTTGAGATCTGTGGGAGAGGCCCTGCTCCGGGAAGCTTCCCTGGACGAGGTTAGGAGAGTGAACACCAGGAATAGGGCTTTCTCTGCAGTGGTGCCCTGGCTGTGGAATGCACTCTCCAGAGTGGTTCCCCTAGCACCAACATTATATGCTTCTCAGTGCCAGGTTAAAAGCTTTTTATTCACACAACATTTTAAAGTTAAAAATAATAATAATTCAGATTTTATTTATCCTCTGTCGCTTTTCATCTTGCTATTGTATTTATTGGATATTTATCACTCTGTAAGCTGTCCAGAGATTTTTCATATCCGACAGCTTAGAATTCTCCTAATAAATTAATAAGTAAACCTCATTAAGTGTATTTTCTCATTTGAGACCATTTGACTACTGTCAAAATGTGAACTATGAAGTTTTCAGAATTCATCAATGCCTTGTTCACCTCCCATGTGGGAATATCCTCATTGTCTTTTTATCTGGTTTGTTGCCCATGGGTGAACTCAGTTTTTCACTAGTTCCTGGGAGTCTATCTTTTTGGGAGCATGCAAAATGGAAAGCCATTGGAGAAACTGCTTTCAGAAGTGCAGTTCTCCTTTTAGAGTGGGAAATAGAAGATTTTTCACTTTCCTTCTTGGCAGCAAACTATACAAGTGGATGCATTCTTCCTTTAATTGCAAATTCATTGCCATCTTTCCTGAATTGAAATCATAATTGAGAATAGACATCTTTTCACACTAATGAGGCACTGGGGGCCAGGTGGAATTTTTGATTGAGCATCTTCTAAAGCCTGTGTGAAACACACAGGAAAAGTCTCTTCAGCATACCATCACTTCCCATGCTTTGAGTGGCTTTTTTCAGATAAAAATTGGTACTTCTTGCCCCACACACAATGCCAGTTTTGCTTCTGAATCAGGGGCATCTAGCTGTTCATTCTGGTTGGGGCATCATACAGGATCAAAGGAGGGGTTCCAGCATACAAGACATCAACTGGTGAATCCCAGACTGGTGGATAGATTTGGCTCACACCTCTCCCTCAGCCATCCAAACAAATCTACCCCTCCACCCCCATTCAGAAGGGCTGTCAATGTGAGCTTCGCTGCCTAGGCAATCCTGTGGTCTACATGCATGAGTTTCCCAATTTTGGGGTGGGGGTCCCCTGTTTTTGGGCTTCACAATTCCCCACCTCTGTTTACCCCTTCTGAGCCCCTGAAAATTGCTCTGATGTCAGAGGAACTCTGTGCTCTAATCTTTGCTAGAGTTTCTCTCCTGCCAATCTCATCTGAGCGAAGAATTCTTGAAGTTGCTCCCCAAGCTTGGCCAGAGGAGAAGTGATGTTGATGGGGCACAGAGGAGGGGGAAGTGTCCAGATGCCCATAGGCCATTGGATCAGCATTTGAAACAACCAATCTTACATACTTTTCAGGGCCAGGCTGTAAGTACGCTTGTCTGCACATTACCTCAAGTCCAAAGGAATGGTGAGCAACTGTAGTGCTTGAGGGAGCACCTTCCAAAGTGTGGAGGAAAAACAGAAAAAGCCCTTTTCCATGTACCCAGAAAGCTGGTCTTTGCTAAACATGCAGGTATCCTTTCATTTTGTGCCCACTTTTCTTTGGCTATAGGACAAGACAGATATGGAATAAATAAATTTAAGGAGAGATTCCTATACATGTTTAGACAGAAAATATTCTCTAGAACTCCTCGCACTCCATGAGCAAGCCATATGTGTCACATGGGACACAATCTAGATAAAGTGTACAATAGAGAGTCTGAAGGCTGGAAGATCATGGGTGACCTGCTCCCCTCCTAGCAGTGGATGCAGAGAAGTCTCCAAGTTTGGAAACTCACACCTGTTGAGGGTGGAGGCCATGGGATGTCCCCCGTAAAGAATTAGTGTTTACGAGCAACACATTGAATTGACCCCAAAAGGAATCAGAAACCAAAGTAGGTGTTGCATTTTACTCCTTGGTCTTCATTAAGCTCTGTCTGAATATCCAAGTGTATTGAAATTATTTATTAATTTATATGATTCAATTTCTATACCACCTATTATCCGGAACAGCTCTCTGGGTGTTCACATGATCAAATTACAGAACCAAACCCAAGGTCAATATGATGAATAAATCAGAACATTCAGATCAAACATAAATAGTAGATTAAAAATAGATATTATAAAAATGTTGGCCTGCAACTGCCGTGTTCAAATTAATCCAGGGATACAGCAGTCCTAAGGCATAAAAAAAGGGAATAGAAACAAAATACACTATAAATACAATCTGTTTAAGGATTTCAATATTATTTAACTTTTATAATGAAGGGTGAATAAAAACGTTCTACCTGATACTCAAAGGACATGCAAGAGTGTACCAGGCACAATTGTTGAAGAGCTGATTCCATAACTGGGGTGCCACGCCTCAGACATCCTTTCCCCTAGTAGCCACTGCTTTAATTTCCATTAGGGGTCACTCTCAGACAAGGACCTGCAGAGAGGACCACAGGGTTTGAGTAAACATATATGGGAAGGGGCATTCCTTTACATAGCCTGTCCCTGTTGTATGCCACGATTTTACGGACGAGACCAGAGACTGGTTGGAATTTTCGAGAGAGGTTAATTTACCTGCAGGGACCAAGCACTCTAGGAGTGTGGTGCCGAGCAGACGAATGCAGCTTTTTTATACTCTTTTACAGCTCTGCAGGTGCTTGAATAACAGCGGACAATGGGGAACCCCACTGAGCTACATTTGCACATTCTGCACTTTTTCCATGCTAAAGCAAGCAAGTGAGGGTACAAGGGCGTGACGTTGGCGGTTATGCTTGAGCGTAGCCTACTTTGTTTTCATCCTTGCATAGCGTGCACATTCGTTGGGGTTCCTGTTCTTGTTCACGCGAACAGGACACCCTGATCATGCTTTCTTTTACCTGTGACGAGCCATGCCCTGGCTGCATGTTCGATTATGAGGGGGGTTACAACAGTCCCCAAGCCATTTCGGACTTGAGATGTTAATGAACACTCTTTGAATTTGACTTCAGTTGGTAACAAATGGAGTTGGAAGAGGGTTGACATGATATGCTCATATTTGTCAGTCCCCATCAGCAGGGTTGCTGCTCTGCTTTCAACCACCTCAAATTTCTTGGACCATTTGCAAAGGCTGCCCAATGCTGAGTGCTTTGCTGTAGTTCGAGCGATCAGTTACAGGAGGATGGACCTCTGTTGCTAGGCTCTGCCTGTCCAGATAGGTTTGTATTTGATAACTCAGCCTATGATGATATTGATTAATATGAGATAAATGAATAAAATTCAGTGTGATTTCATTTAATTCATTTACAGCTAGGTTTTAAAAATCTATTTACATAGTCGCATTGCTATTGAATTTGGGATTATTGACTTCCTAAACTGAAGCTGAACGGAAAATGGTATTCAGCAGTTTTTGGAATGATTTCAAGTGTTAATGGACTGTGTTCCTTAAATGTGGTTGAGTTTCAGAGAGCCAGAGGGGTAAAAGAGGGAGATAAGAGAGGGATGTGATTGGGGGGTGAAAGTGAGTGTGATGGTGTGAGAGGAGAGGGAGAAGGCAAAAAAGTTAGGATGCAGTTAAGTCTGAGTGAGTGGTGGTCTGTCAGAAGCTTCAGCCAAGGGGGACCTGTGAGAAGTTGACACACATAGTTTTGGTCCAAAAGAAGTCTGCAGATGCTGAAGAGGCAGCCTTCTCACGTGCATCTTAGAGTGCTGTTGAAAGCATTTAAGATTAAAATGGAAAGGGGAGGCAGTGGAATACTTGGAGGATGTGTTACTGAGTTGGAAGAGTCAGAACCCCAAACTGTCAAGTATTATGAGTGTGTGGGAGTGAAGCCTGCAGATACCGGAGTGCAGGAGAGATAGGAGGATCATTATGCAAGGAGTGAATGTGAAGGCAAAGAGTGATATATCTCAGTCAAGTGTTATTCTCATTCATTGCTTTATTGAAGAAGAAAAAGTTACACGTTTTAAAGGATGTTTTACTTGTTTCATTGCTAACAGAGAGAGGCTCTCTGTTTATCAGCATCTCATCCTCAGGACCATGTAGTCCAGAGAAGAAGGAACCTTACAGACTGGCACAACACATAGCAAGGTCAATTAATTAGAATGGACTTAAATCCCTGGTGCCAGTATAACCTCCAAAAAGAAAGAGATGGAGATAAAGAAGGCTAAAGACATTCCATATCCCAAAAAGTTATAGGAGTCTCCTCATGACACTTTGCACCTGTTTTCTCAAGGTGATGTTTTGCCTTCTATCTATTATCAACTAGTTACGAGTATCAATTCTATGTAGAATGCACATTTATTGTTATAGTTTTTCAGCATAATGCTATGATACTGATTAAATGAATAGAAATCAATCAGTTAATCAACAAATGGTGAAACAGTATTTTAATGGTCTGTTGAAGCCATGTATAAGAATACCCCTCAAATAAGAATGTGATTAATACTGTATATGACTTCGAAAAATACCCCTTGAAATTTCTCATACATAATTCAACTTCTAAAGCTAGCAACACACTGGGGAGCGGATAACCTCCCATAACATTGTCTAAATTGCTGTTTTCCAGTCTGTGGCTCAGTGCATTGCCCCAGCTCATGGACAAGACAGCATCTGGAAAGAACTCAAATGTATCCTTCCAGACTGGTGGACAAAGGGGTATTATTAGCAGCAAACCATTCTACTGGTGCACAGATTTCCCAATACGTCAGCCAATAAATCATGTATATTAGCAATGCAAACATTCACTACTGAATGTAGGGGTGGGCACATCAGAAAGCAGAACCTATTAAAGCCATACCTGGGAGGAAGCATGAACGCTGAGATTTGGGTGGACAATTTCTCAGCAAGTTCCTCGTGGTGATGCTGCTTCTCTTGCTTTTTCTTCCAGGTCATGCTGTGGGCAAGAGACATTCTATCAATTGCACCACAACCGATGATCCTCTCCCTATTCCACACAAATTTTATCAGCCAGGTGATGTTGTCATTGGTGGGATTGTTTCTCAGGTTTTCTTTCTCCATAATATCCTTTCTTTTGTGAAACAGCCTGCGCAGACACGTCTCGGTGAACCAATGTAAGGCCTTTTTTCTTCTCTTCCCTTCACAAATATTTGCAGTTCATTGTGAAAATGCACCATGAATCTTCCAGCCCAATTTAAGTACTTTTTGATTTATGTTCAGTGGGCAAAAACTCTTCTGTTACTTTAGTAAAAAAACTACATGTTGAAACATGGGGAGATTTACATTTTCCCACACCCCTCTTCATTTGTTCTCATCATCCTTTGCTTCTCATTCAACCCCTGCCTTCTTTCTTTCTTTCTTTCTTTCTTTCTTTCTTTCTTTCTTTCTTTGGATGGTTCTTCTTTAGAAATATTTTCTTTTGTAAAATGGTGGACTTGTCCTTGGCAATATTCAATGTTCAGGAATTTCTGGGATCTTATCTCCAAATGGAGATGTGTTTATGGAAGCTTGCAGGAATCACTTTTCTCCTTACAAATTGAAATACTTTTCAAGTTTCATATACTTCAGGAGCATGCAGTTAATTGCCTTCCTATGCTTTTGACATAAAGTAATATGACTGACCTGCTTGCAGTACTGCTGACAATATCCTGCCATTGCATATTTTATCCTTAGTACCCAGTTCTCAGTGATCAGTCTATGTTGAGACTACTTTTAAATATATATATACATGGGCACTTTACTGGAGTGTGCTGTTTGTGGTATTCTCATATGTATGCAAAATAATTCACTCTGCTGAATGCATTCTGTAGTGTATTAAACACTTGACAGATCCCAAAATACTGGGAGCATTTAGTGTCTCAAGGGCAAAAAAATACCCATTTTGATGTCTTTACCTTATTTTACCTCCCCCTCCTATTGCCATTTGCAGTTCCATCTGATCCTTTTATGCTATAACTCGATCTTGAAAACAAAAACATGATGGTGATGATGATGATGATGCTCTGAATCAAACAGCCTGTCACTCTTCTTCCAGTTCTGTGCCCAAGAACTACCAACATGTCCTGGCCTTGGCATTTGCTGTGAAGGAGATCAATGAGGATCCACAAATCTTACCCAATATCTCTCTGGGCTTCCATATCCTAAATAGCTACTACACTGCAAGGATGACCTTCAAGGCCATCCTGAACCTCCTTTCCACACAGCACAGGTTTGTCCCCAACTTCAAGTGTCACAGCCAGAATAATGCGATTGCTCTTATTGGAGGTTGCCTCTCTGAAATCTCTGCCAATGTAGCTATTCTTTCAGCAACTCATAAGACACTGCAGGTAAGCAGGTTCAAGTAAGCCTAGAAGTTTCATAGGTGTGGCACAGAATCTTCACTTCAGCAATGCTCCTGACGGATTACGTGATCAGTTAGCAGTTTCATTAGATGCAGGCAAAGGGTCAGCCTAGGCTGGTATATTCACCCTTTCTCAGCAAACCAGAGTCTGTGTCTGACACCCCTTCAAAGTGGAAGGAGGTTTTAGTGGGGTGCCACTGGACTGTTCACCATCTCCCTCATTTTCATGCTACTATAGCAGTGACATCGATGGGAGTATGTAATGGATCCATATAATATTTATGAATGACATGAGACAAGGAAGGGTAGTTAACATTTCAACATTCTGTGCTAAAATTTTAGATGACTGTGGTAGGATGGCAATCATCTGCAAGTTACAAATTTTTAATTCCATGGAAAGAAATGCAAATTATGTATTTAGAGAAGTGAGCAAAAAAAAAAAAAAAAAATCCTGCGTAGGGTGGTACAGGCTAAAAGAACCAAAAAAGTACAATCTGTTGCACCATTGAAATCTTTTATTTGTTGTTCTAATCCTTCTAGAAAAAAAAGAAATGAGCAAAAAGAAACCTATGGTTTGAAAAATAAAAAAGGTTGTACACGTACAACCAATCACACAAAAGTAAAGAAAGTGAAAGGAGGGATCACAATCAAATTTGAAATACATATTTACCCAAAACGAACAATATTTTTTGATACCTCTGGAAAAACAGTTTCAGCTCCTCCTACCAAAAGCCCATGTTCTGACATTTTCCTTCATTATCAGCAACATCACCAGGCTCAATGTAATTAGAGATGACGTTTACGTGCATCCACTTCATCAGTAGCAGCACTGTTCTCAGCATTGCATAGCGTCATCACTAATTATAGGACATGTCAGCAAAGACACACTGCTTAGTTTCCCATTTCCTGACATTAGGAACTTTGTGCAACCATGCCAGTTGTTTAGCATGGATCTTTGAATGGAATGTCATCATTGTCAGAGGGGAAATTACATTGGTCTCTTGACTAATCATGACTTTAAAAACATGACATTATCTTTGAGAAAATATCTTTTGAGACAGGGAGGAATGAAACATTTCTGATTCTAATTGCCATGAATATTTCTAGAATAAGGAACCAATCTTAATTTGTAAAATTGGACAGCTTGGCTTTATCACTACAGAAAATTTGAGAAATTGAATGTATTCATGGGCCTTAGCCTACACACCATGGCTGTAATACCTGTAATACACATTTTCTTTAAAAATCTCACTGCTAAATTCAGAGTTACTTTTACAGCATTCCTTCTATTGCAATGCATAATGGATGCAAGGCAACTTTAGCTGCAAAAATGAAAACATAGTCACCACACTATGTAAACTGTGTGTTCCATTTTATTGTACACTTGTCTTCTACTGCATCCAGTTCTGGGTGCTGACTTTTCAGATTAAACTCAGACTGGGGGCGGTTCAGAGGAGGGGAAAGTGGGTATAGGAAGCGAGGCTCACAATTCAAGGTTAAGGACACTGTACACATTTAGCCTGAAGAAGAGGAAAGTAATGTGGGAGTTGATATAACTTGTCAAAAAACTTAATCTCCATGACAGAAAAGAGGGCACAGACCTGTCCTCCACTCAGCAGAAGGGATGCCTGGACTTTAACTTAACGATCAGAAAAAATAAACTGAATAATAAACATAGTCAAGCAAAGGAATTTAATAACACTGGGGGACACTCTTTTCTACTGGTGAATTTTAACACAAAAGGTACTTAACAATCTGATATGGGATATGCAACTTTGAGTTTCCTGCATGACATGGTTTTCCTTGTCCATATGACCAACAGGAACACCTGCAACTCTGCATGATTTAAGATTCTTTTGATCTATCCAAACACATTTATTTTCAGCTCACCTATGGATCATTTTTGCCACCACAAGGTGCCAAGAAGCAAATGCCCTTTTTGTACCAGATGGTTCCAAACGAAGCACAGCAATACCTGGGAGTCTTGCGACTACTTCAGCATTTCAGGTGGATGTGGATTGGGCTTGTAGCTGTGCACGATGACAGAGGGAACAGGTTCTTACAGACCATGGTACCAATGCTTTCCCAGCATGGAATCTGCTATGAATTCATTCTAAGGTTCCCAAAATTGGCTTATATGGATGAGATGATTGACATGGCTTGGAAGGACAGGAAGAGGTTTGAAATTGCCTTTGAGAGCAAGGCCAATGTTTTCTTTGTATATGGAGAACCTCCATCATTTCAAATATTGAGAATATTGCTGTTGGTAGCACCTATCTTGGGATTGCCACCACTGGGTAAGGTGTGGATTCTTACTTCCCACTGGGATTTTGAATCAGTGCCTCTTCAAAGAAATTGGGATACACAGACATTCCATGGTTCCTTATCATTAAGTGCCCATTCAAACCAGCCATTCAGATTCCTCATGTTTGTGCAGAAGGTTAGACCTTCTTGGGCTAAAGGAGACGGTTTCATTCAGGACTTCTGGGAACATGCTTTTAACTGTTTACTAAGCATGGCTGACTTGACCCAGGACAAAGACAGCTGCTTAGGGGATGAAAAGCTGGAGACTATTCCTGGAATCTTGTTTGAAATGAACATGACCGGCCACAGCTACAATGTCTACAATGCTGTCTATGCTGTGGCACATGCACTGAATGCGGTATATGAATCCAGCCTCAAACACAGAACATGGGTAGGAAGAGAAAGACTGGCTATTCAGAATGTGCAACCTTGGCAGGTAGTTGCACCTCAGTACACTTTTGCAAACAATTGCGAGCTAAAAGATAAGATGAATTTCAATTCTGCATTTAAAAAAAGACACAAAAAGGTTCCTTTCAGGAAACAGCTTCTGGTAGTAGGACCATTCTGACTGGGTTTGTCCAGACTTAGTGTTGCTTTCAGCTGACCTACAGAAACCAATGGGATCAGAGATTTCCATGAGTTTAGTGAATAATGTGTATGGAAGCCACTATACAAGTCCTATCTATTCAAAATACTTTGTTCAATTTAAGAGTCAGATTGAATTAATTGGAGCACCATGCCAAGTAGAAATGTGAACTCACCACAAGGTGTCATGGAGGGAGAATGAGTGCTATGTAGGTTGAAACAAACCCAAGGGAAGCTTGTTGCTGCAGTTTCAAGATCATGTTCTCCCTTTCTTCCTAATCTTTTCCAATCCAGCTCCATCACTTTCTAAGCAGCATCTGGTTCAACAACACTGCTGGAGACACTGTGCATTTTAATGAAAATGGAGAGCTGGTTGCTGAGTTTGATGTTACCAACTGGCTGATGTTCCCCAATGGCTCCATTGCTAGAGTGAAAGTTGGGAGCCTGGACCCCCAGGCTCCTGCAGGCCAAGAGTTAACTATTGATGATGACCAAATCAGGTGGCATACAAGCTTTAATCAGGTGAACCACAGCTGCAAATGCTTAATTATTTAAACATTCCTCTTGGTTGACATGCCATTTACCAGTAATTTGGTAACCAAGTGGTATGATACATGTGGCCATGCAATTCAGTAATGGACACCCTATCTCCCTTGTGGCAGATGTTCAGAAGAACAAAAAAGTGGAGTTTTAAGAGCACCTGGTGTACGGTTTGATGCATGGAGGTAGCAAGTTGCCCAACTGCTACCCATAACCTACCATTTATGTAGAAAATTGTGATTTTCTGTTTTCTAGATTTAAGAATTGTGTGAGGGATGGGATGGCTAGTGCACAGCCTCAGTCCCCATACTCCGACCTGGCGTTCCATTGTTTTCCCCTCTTAGGAGCCTTAGAGAGCAGACAGCATTGTTGCCTCCTTGGTGTTTTTTTCAAGAGCCCAGGAGTTCACACCCTTAAACATTGAGAACAGACATGAAGGGGGTGCAGTGCTTTTCAAAAACTGATCTCTTGGCTCAATGAACTGGTGAAACAAATCTGTAGAAATGGAGAGCAACTGCACTTTTTCTGACTAGTAGGACCTTGCATGCCTGGACCCATATTCCTTTTCTCATGACACCCCTTCATGCAAGTCACTTTCAAAGCTGCTGACAGTTCACAAGATTGGATAGAATTTCATTGACTGATTTCTTGCAGAAGAGAAAACCTTGTCTTCTCTTTATATACCATTCATCAGCTCAGAAAAGTGCACATTTGTCTCCCTTGGTCCAGAAGTGTGTGGAATATAGAAAATCTACTCAAGTTCCTTTTTGAGTCTGACTTAGGAGAAATATGTTGGGCATTTGTAATTTCAGAATTCAATCAATCATGGCTAAAAAGCCATCAATTTGATCCATGGGCAATGACCATGTTTCTGCAAAAAGAGAATGTTTATTTCAGATTGGCTGTCAGGGTGATGAAACCCGCCAGAGTGCATTCAGCCATGTGAACAAATTCTTCTGCTGGATTCAGAAACATGACATGACAAGTCTCTTTGAAACAAAAATGGCTCACAGGCCACCTAGTGCTTTCAAGTTGTGTCTACCCCTTCTCAAGACACACACGTATACTTCTATTTCTGTCTGCTTCTCTGCAGGCTCTGCCTCTTTCTGTATGCAGCAACAACTGCTATCCAGGTTACAGCAGGAAAAAGAAGGAGAGGGAGCCATTTTGCTGTTATGACTGTACTGCATGTCCGAAGGGAATGATCTCCGACAGGAAGGGTAGGAGATATCATATATGCAGAGAGCCACCTGCTGGATTTCATTCATTAGTGTTATTTTGTGAATGTGTACCCCTTTCATTGCATGTGAAAATACTCCTTGACACAGAATTTAAAGGAATCTAAGGACTAAAAAGATATATTTTTAGACTGATAAATAAAACAGTAGGATGCCTAAAGAGCACAAGGTCTAATACCTGTCAGAATGGAAAGGAATGATGAGAGGGCATGTTTGCTTCCTTTGTTGGAGAGTTCCACTGCCACAGAAGTGATTTCACTATAGGTGAGTGCAAGGAGTGAAATTTCCTTAATTGGGAGTTTGTACATTTAGAAGAAACACATGGACATGGAAATGGACTTGTTAAAGTCCTTCACCACATTTTCAACTGGATGAATGTTCTGAGAATGCCTCCAAAGCAGCCCATAGAAGAGCACAGTGAAGGAACGGAATCTTGGTAAACCTTTGGCTAGTACCAGCATAAACACCTCCACTTTCCCTAGTAACAGGCACATCAAGAACAAGTGCCAATCCTCTCAGTGAATGGATTGCCCCCTTGCCTTTCGTGCCTCATTATCATTCAGGAGCAAGTCATTAAAAGGCTAAAGCCATTTAGGAAAATGTGGCAAATGCTTTCATTATGACATTTGCTTACACGTTGTCTCCAGTTTTCTCTCCATAATTGAACTCATGGCACTGCCGAGAACAAGAAGAAGAAGAGGAAGAGGAAGTTGTTGAAGTTTTTTTGGTAACTGTGTAAAGGATGCAAAATCTTTTGGAGACAGCAGTAAGTGGAAATATGCCTTCTTGCATTTTTGTTCCCCCTTTTTGGAATACGATCTCAAACTCGTTGGTATAAGAAATCTTTGCTGACTCCTTTCTGTGGATGTTGGCTTAAACCTAAATAAGTAATCAGCATTTCATTCCTTTCAGACATGGCAACCTGCATCAAATGTCCAGAACAGCAGTATCCCAATAATGAACAAACGCAGTGCCTCCCCAGGATTCCCAGCTTCCTCTCCTATGGAGAAACTCTTGGGATCATCTTGACCACATTGGCTCTTTCCTTCTCCTTCATCACAGCGCTAGTGTTTGGACTCTTTCTGAAGCACAAGGACACCCCAATAGTTAAAGCCAACAACCGAAGCATCACCTACATCCTCCTCATCTCCCTCCTTCTCTGCTTCCTCTGTCCCTTGCTCTTCATTGGGAAACCAGGAGAGGTGACCTGCCCTCTCCGACAAATCATTTTCAGCACAATCTTCTCTGTGTCCCTTTCCAGCATCTTGGCCAAAACCATCACTGTTCTTCTGGCATTCATGGCAACCGCTCCTGGGTCCAGGATGAGGAAAAGGATGGGGAAAGGACTTGCCACATCAATTGCCTTTTGCAGCTCCTTGGTTCAGGCAGCCATTTGTACAGTCTGGGTGAGCACGACCCCTCCTTTCCCAGATGTGGACACACACTCACTGGATGGGAAAATCATTCTGGAATGCAATGAGGGCTCTAATGCCATGTTTTATTGTGTCTTGGGATACCTAAGCTCCCTGGCAATTGCCAGTTTCATTGTGGCTTTCTTAGCCAGGAAGTTACCTGACAGTTTCAATGAGGCCAAATTTATCACCTTCAGCATGTTGGGTTTTTGCAGTGTTTGGTTCACTTTTTTTCCATCCTACCTGAGCACCAAAGGGAAATATGTAGTGGCTGTGGAGATCTTCTCCATTCTGTCTTCCAGTGCTGGGCTGCTGGGTTGCATCTTCGGCCCTAAATGCTACATTATTGTTCTCAGGCCTGAAATGAACAGCAGGGAGCACCTAATCAGAAGGAAAAAGTGAAAGAATATGTTTCTCTCCTCATACTGAGGATTACCTCACTGGAAATCTGAATGGAAAGTCATGCATGGGTCCTTGCACTGGTGAACATCCCAGCTTGAATTCGTTTGAGTACATTTAAGCAGGTATAAAGGTAAAGGTAAAGGCAAAGGCAAAGGTTTCCCCTTGACATTAAGTCCAGTCATGCCGGACTCTAGGGGACGGTGCTCATCTCCGTTTCCTAGCCGAGGGAGCCAGTGTTTGTCTGCAGACAGTCTCCGTGGTCATGTGGCTGGCATGACTAAACATTGAAGTGCATGGAACACTGTTACCTGCCCACTAAAGTGGTACCTTTTTATTTACTTGCATTTGCATACTTTCCAACTGCAAGGTTGGCAGGAGCTGGGACGGAGCAACAGGAACTCACCCCGTTGGGCAGATTTGAACTGGTGACCTGTCGATCTACCAGCCCAGCAACACAGTGGTTTAAACCACTGCACCACCTGCAGTCCCCTTAAGCAGGTATAGACTGACTCAAATGAATCTTAATCTCAAGTTAACTTATGTCTGTTCAATCCTATTACTCTTACATTACCTTATATATCTCTACTGCCCATAGCCATATTTCTCTGTGCAGATATCATGGGTTTCATCATCTTGTTCCTCACATCCCTCACAAAATGCAAAGGTAATGTTGTTGACAGCATGGTAATGACTGAGATTTGACAAAGTGTGTACCGATTTGTAATGGACATCAGTGCTTTCCATTTTTTTATGTATTTGACTGTGAGATATTATGAAGTTCAATAACAGTACGCATTTTTGTGCTACTCAGCTACAAGTATTGGAAATTGTGGTTTACTAAAAAATGATTCATTTTGACTCCAGACCTTGTAGCTTTTTTTGAGCTGGTCCATTGTGAACTGCAGGTGTCCAGGAAAGCCAGTCTGAAAATGAACCTACTCTGAAACCTGGCGACCTGGGAACAGAATGACAATTCAAAAACTGAATGAACAAGCCAAGGTTTCTTTTTTATTTTTAATGCAATTCATGACCAACAAACTAACTGTGCCTGACATCCACCCTGGTTTAGATTTGCATGTAAACATACTCATTATGCATCTATGCACATGCTTCAAACTTTAGTATTTCTTAGTTCTTTCTTGTCATCAAATTGATCTGAGTGATGGTTATGGTGTCAACTAATACCCTCCAAAATGTCCTGTTTGTGACAGACCTACTGAGCTCTTGGAAATTCACTAGTTTGGGACCTTTTCCTATATATAGTCTACACATCTAATTTCTCCTCTCCTCCTCCTCCTCCTCCTTTTCTGTATGCCTTTAACTTTCCACTTCATGAAAGTGTATCTTTCACTCTTGAAGCAGCCTACTCTTAATTGAAGTCAGAAGAGGAGCAGTTCTTCATTAGATACTATTGACACTGATCGAGAGTGTTTTCTTACTTCTGAAAAGTCGCAAAGTGAGGATACAAGGATTCCAATCAGAAATCAATCATATGTCAAAAATAAAAAAGTTTGGAACAGGAAGAAAGAATTTCAAGTGCCATGCTATCTTCCTGGTAGAGCATCCCGGGGTTCAAAGGAATGGCCCTGTAAACTGTTCCGATGTCAGAAGAGGAACTGTGTGCTCTATTCTTTGTCAGGATTTCTCTCCTGCCCAGTTTCAGTTGAGAGAATTCTTTCAGTTATTCCACAAACTTGGAAAGAGGAGAAGTGATGTTGATGGGGCAGGGAGGAGAGGGAAGTGACAGGATGCACATAGGCCATATGATCATAGTGTGAAACAGTCAATACTACATGCCTTACAGGGCCAGGCTGGAAATATGCAGCTCTACATAACTTCTTGAGGACAAGGGAGGACAGGGTGATGGTGATTCTTGAGGAAGCTCCTTCCAATGCGCAAAGGCACCTCAGAAGAAAGGCCTGTCACATGTACCCAGAAAGCCAGTCCTTGTTAAGTTGGTGCCCTCCAAAAGGGACCATTTTTAAAAGGCTTCTAAATACAAGGGGCAGATTTATATTGAAACACATCATTCCTTCAGAGAAGCAGATGATCTTTCCTTTCCCACCCACACTTCTTTGGCTGTAGGCAAAGATAGACATGGAATAAATAAATTTAAGGAGACAATCCTATACATGTTAACCAGGAAACAATTCTAGAACTCCTAGCACTCCACCAGCCAGCCATCTGTCTCATGTGAGACACTATCTAAATAAAATGCAGGATACAAAGTCTAGTGGCTTGAAGATCATGGATGGCCTGCTCCCATCCATGCATTGAATGCATAGAAGCCTCCAAGTTTGGAAGCTCACACCTGTAGAGGGTGGAGGCCATGGGATGTCACCCAGAAAGAATTAGCATTTAGGAGCAACACATTGTATTGACCCCCAAAACAATCAGAAACCAAAGTATATATTGTATTCATTTTTCGATATATATCCTGCCTTTTTCCTACAAAGGGCTCAAGGAAGCTTACAAATCAGAACATTCAAATCAAATATAAATAATAAAAATAAATACAAGAAAAACATTGGCCTGCAACTGGTATGTTAAATTAATCGAAGGATACAGCATCTCTGAGGCATAAAAAAAGGAATAGAAACAAAATACACTATAAACACAATCTTTTTTAGGGTTTCAATATTATTTAAATTTTACAATGAAGGGTGAATAAAAAGGTTCTGCCTGGTACAGAAAGGAAAAGCAAGATGCACCAGGTGCACCTTCTCGAAGAGTTTATTCCATAACTGGGGTGCCTCATCTGAGACATTCTTTTCCTGAGTAGCCACCATTTTAATTTCCTTTAGGAAATCCTCTCTGAGAAGGACCTGCAAAGATGAACACAGGGTCTGTGTAATCATATATGGGAAGGGGCATTCCTTTACACAGCTTGGACCTAGCCGTTTAGGACTTGATATATTAATGAACACTCCTTGAGTTTGACTTCAATTGGTAAAACTGGTAACAAATGGAGTTGGAAAAGGGCTGACAAAATATGCTCATATTGGACACTCCTCATTGGTAGGCTTGGTGCTCTGCTTTGAACCACCTCAAATTTCTGGACCATCTACAAAGGCAGTCCAGTTCGGAGTGCATTGCAGTAGTCCAAGTGAGTGGTAACAGGAAAATGGACCAGTGTTGCTAGGCTTTGCTTGTCCAGATAGTGTTGTAATTGATAACTCTGCCTAAGATTATATTTATAAATATACAATAAATATATAAAATTCAGTGAGGTTTCATCTAATTCATTTACAGCATTAGTTTACAAAATCCATTTGCAAAGTCACGTTGCTATTAAATTTAAGATTATTCACCTTCTTAACTGAAGTAGAAACAAAATGAGTTTTTGGAATGATTCCAAGTGTTATGGGACTGTGTTCCATAAATGTGGTTTTGTTTCAGAGAGCAAGAGGGGAAAAAGTGGGAGTTGAGGGAGGGAAGTGATGGGGGGGGGGATGACTGAGTGAGTGCAGAGGTGTGAGAGGGGAAGGAAGAAAAGTTTGTTAGGCAGCAGTTCAGTCTGAGTGAGTGGTGGTGCATCAGCAGCTACAGCCAAGGCAGACCTGTCAGAAGTTCACTCATGTAGTTGTGGTCTGTCAGAAGTTTGCAGAGCACTGAAGAGGCAGTTTTCTCATGAGCATCCTACAGAGTGCTGTTCAAAGCATTTATGATTCAAAAGGAAAGGGGAGGCAGCAAAATTCCTGGAGAATGTGTTAGTGAGATGGAAAAGTCAAAACCCAATATTGTGAAGTATTATGAGTGCGTGAGAGAAAAGCCTGCCGAAACCTGAGAGCAGGAGAGAGAGGAGGATCTGTGTGCAAGGAGTGAATGTAAAGGAAAAGAGTGATGTATCACAGTCAAGGGTTACTCTCATGCATTGCTTTATTGAAGAAGAAGTTACAGAACAATTTGAAAATATTATGCTCATTTTTCAAAGGACATTTTACTTTGTTCTTTGCTAACACAGAGTCATTGGATGTCTGATTATCCCTGTCTCATCCTTGGAACCACACAGTCCAGAGAAGGGAGGCCTTACAAGTTGGCACAACACTGTGCAAGGTCAATTAATTAGAATGGTCTTAATCCCTTAAACCTCCTAAAGAAAGTGAGGGAGACAAAAGAAGGCTGAAGACACTCCATATCCAAAAAATTTATAGGAGTGCACTTTTGATGGTGTTCTTCTGTTTTGTTAAGAAGAAGTTCCGAGTCTGTCTGTTATCAACCAGTTGTATCAGTTATATGCAGGGTACAGATTTATTGTTATAAGTAGTTCTTCAACATAATGTTGTGATACTTAACAAATGACTAGGAAATCAATCAGTAAATCACTAAATGAGGAAAAGATATTTTGAAGGTCTGCTGAAGCCATGTGTAAGAATACCCCTCAAATAAGAATGTGGTTAATACATGACTTAGAAAAATGCCCCTTGCAGTTCCTCAAATTTAACGCAACTTCAAAAGCTAGCAAAACACTGGGGAGGTGATAACCTCCCATAACATTGCCTAAATTGCTGTTTTCCATTCTGTGGCTCAGTGCATTGTCCCAGCTCACGGACGAGACAGCATCTGGAATGGACTCAAATATATTATTCCACACTGGTGGACAAAGAGTTATTAGCCACAAACCATTGTACTGGTGCACAGATTTCCCAATACACCAGGCAATAAATCACGTCTATAAGCAATGCAAGCATTCACTACTGAATGGAGGAGTGGACACATCTGAAAGCAGAACTTATTAAAGCCATAGATGGGAGGAAGGAGGTACATCGACTTTTACGGTAGACTATTTCTCAGCATGTTCCTCAGGGTGATGCTGCTTCTCTCACTGCTTCTTCCAGGTCATGCTGCGGGTAAGAGACATTCTATCAATTGCACCACAACCAATGATCCTCTCCCTATTCCTCATAAACTCTACCAGTCAGGTGATGTTGTCATTGGTGGCATTGTTTCTCAGGTCTTCTTCCACCATAATATCCTTTCTTTTGTGGAACAGCCTGCACAGACACGGCTCGGTAAACCAATGTAAGGCATTGTTTCTTCTCTTCCTTTCCCTAAAACATGCAATCCATTATGGAAATGCATAATTTAATTACTTCTGGCTGTACATTCAGTTGACAAAAACACTTCTGCGGCTTTACTGCCCTGGAATTTCTGGAATAGTATCTCAAAATGGAGATGTGTTTATGGAAGCTTGCAGCAATCCGTTTTCTCCCTACCAATTGATATATACATATGTTTTAATTTTAAAAACATCAGGAGCATGCACACAACTGCATTCTAATGCCTTTGACATTGAGTAATATGAATAATCTTCCAGTAGGTGGACAGGTATCACGCCTTTGTATATTTTATCTTTAGTAAAAGATTCTGAGTGGAAATTACTTTTAAAAAGTGGATTTTTGGATTTTTTTAATGGATTTGTGTGTGTGTGTTTTAATTCTCATATGTATTCAGATCATCTCACTGTGATGAATGCATCCTGTACTATGTTAAACACTTGAGAGATCCCAAAACATTCAAAGGTTTTAGTTTCTCAGGGGAAAAAATTACCATTTTGTAGTGTTAACTTTCATTTACCTGCCTCACCTATTGCCATTCACAGTGTCATCTGATGCTTTTACGCTATAGCTCAATCTTTAAAAAAAAAATACATGGTGATTATTATGATAGTGGTGGTGCTGATGCTGTCTATAAAAAAGATGTCCACTCTTCTTCCAGTTCTGTGCCCAAAAACTACCAACATGTCCTGGCCTTGGCATTTGCTGTGAAAGAGATCAATGAGGATCCAAGAATCTTACCCAATATCTCCCTGAGCTTCCACATCTTCAACAGCTACTACACAGCAAGAATGACCTTCAAGGCCATCCTGAACCTCCTATCCACACAGTATACGTTTGTCCCTATTTTCAAGTGTCACAACCAGAACAATGTGATTGCCCTTGTTGGAGGTTGTCTCTCTGAAATCTCTGCCAATATAGGTATCTTTTCAGCAACTCATAAGACACCACAGGTAAGCAGGTTCAGGTATGCTTACATGAGTTTCCACAGAGTTTTCATAGGGTTGGCGCAGTACCTTCACTTCAACCAAGCTACTCCAAATTCCGTAATCAGTTAGCGGTTGCATTATATGTTGGCAAAAGTTCTACTTGGCAGATATATTCACTCCTTGTCAGAAATCCAGAGTCTGAATCTGACTCCTCATCAAAGTGGAAGGAGATTTTAGTGGGGTGCCACTGGACTCTTCACCATCCCCCTCATTTTCATACTAGTGTATCAGTACATAGATGGAAGAATGGAATGGATCCATATAGAACCTGTGGATGACATAAGACAAGGAAGGATGGTTAACATTTCAAAAAGCTGTGATAAAATTCAAGATGGGTGTGGTAGAATTGAAATGGTCTGCATGTTACAAATCTCTAATTCCATGGAAAGAAATGCAAATTCTGAATTTAGAAAAAAAACAAAACAAAACAAAATACTGCATAGGTTGGTAAAGTTTAAAAGAAGCAAAAATGTGCAATCTGTTGAACCATTCAAATCTTTTATTTGTTGTTCTAATTCTTCAAGAAAATCAAAGAAATGAGCAAACAGAAAGCTATGGTTAAAAAAATTAAAAAGGTGGTATACCTACATCCAACTACACAAAAGTAGAGAAAGTGAAAGGAGGGATCACAATCCAACTTGAAATATTTATGTACCCAGCACTAACAATAATTTTTGATAGCACTGAAAAAAACAGGTCCAGCTTCTCCTTCCAAAATCCCATGTTCTGAAATAATTTTTCATTATCAGCAACATCATCAGGTTTAATATAATTAAAGATAATGTTTACATGCATCCGCTTCATAGGAAGTTCTTTTCTTTTTTTTAATAATAAGTTTTATTCAAAATAACCCTAAAACAAAGGAAAACTAAAAACATCAATCATCGGAAACATTGGACCTTCTGGGTCAGCCCCACATTTTTTTCTATTTATGATAACTTAAAAACATTTAAATCTATACGAAGTCCCGTTTCTCTAGCCAATAATAAAGAGAGTCCCAAGTTTGATAGAAATCAGTATCTTCTTTCTCCTTCAATGACAAAGTCAATCTGTCCATTTCTGCACAGTCCAAAATCTTTTTTATATCAGTTTGTCGGTGGGTGGTTCTTCAGTTTTCCAGGGGTGAGCAAGTGCAATCCTCGCCACACTAATTATATGTATAATCAATTACATTTCTTGTTTACTAATAGCAACAGGTATAATGCCTAATAAGAAGACTTCAGGTTTAAAAGCCAAGGATTTGTGTAACATTTCCTCAAGCCATTTATGTATTTTAATCCAATACTTTTTCACATTATTGCAAGTCCACCACATATGATAGAAAGTACCAAATCTATGTTTACATTTCCAACATCCGTTTGACATATTTGGAAATATCTTAGCTAACCTATTTGGTGACAGATACCATCTATAAAACTTTTTATACAGGTCTTCTTTATATAAAGTTGCTAATGTTACTTTAATATTTCTCTCCCACAGCTTTTGCCACTTTACTAATTCAATATTATATCCAAAATTTTGTGCCCATGTTATAGTTTCCTTAACCTGTTCATCTTCCATTCTCCTATCCAGTAGGAAGTTATACAATCTTTTGATCATTTTCTCATCTGATTTAAGCATCACCTGATCAAATGCTGTTAAATCTTTATAAAAGCCCCACATTTTATAGTCTTTAGCATATCTCGATTGATCTGAACCTTATGCCAATTGGTAGCAGTTCTATTCACAGCATCGCAGAGCATCACCATTGATTATAGGACATGTCAGCCAAGACATTCAGTCTGCTTCCCATTTCCTGACTTTTGGGGCTTTGTGCAAACATGTCAGTTTCTTAGCATGGATCTTAGAATGGAATGTCATCAATGTCAGAGCGGAGACCACATTGGTTCCTTGACTAATGATGACTTTTAAAGCATGACATTATTTTTGAGAAAATTACTTTTTACACAGGGAGAAATTTACCATTTCCACTTTAAATTTTTCTAGAATGTGGAAATGATCTTAATTGGTAAAACTGAACACCTTACCTCTATCACTGCAGAGGACTTGGGAAATTGTATGTACATATGGGCATTAGGATAGGCAACACTACTATGAGAGCAGGAATACATATTTTCTCTATAAATCTCACAGCTGAATTCTGAGTTACTTCTGCAGCATTCCTACTATTAGAATGTATAATGGATGTATGGAAATTTTAGTTGCATAAATGCAAGCATAGTTACCACACTGTGAAAACTGAGAGTTCCTTTTTATTGCACATTTGCCTTCTACTGCCTCGTGTTCAGGGTGCGGCATTTCAGATTAAACTCAGAATGGGGATGGTTCAGAGGAGTAGAGAGGGAATGTGGAAAACAAGGCTCACAATTCAAGTTTAAAGACTCTGAGCACATTTTGCTTGAAGAAGAGGAGAGTAACTTGGGAGATCATACAACTTGTCAAGAACCTGAATGGCCATCACGGAAAAGAGGGCAATGACTTTTTCTCCCCTTTAGGATTCCACAAGTTTGTGCAGATGGTTAGACCTTTTTGGGCTGAAGGAGATAGGTTTATCCAAGACTTCTGGGAAAATGCATTTTATTGTCCTCTAAAAATGGCTGATAAGTTGCAGGAGGACAAAGAGACCTGCTTAGGGGATGAGAAGCTGGAGACTCTTCCTGGAAGCTTGCTTGAAATGAACATGATGGGCCACAGTTATAATGTTTACTATGCTGTCTATGCTGTAGCACATGCTTTGAATGCTGTATATGAATCCAGTTTAAACACAGAACATGGGTAGGAAGAGAAAGACCATCTATACAGAATGTGTAACCTTGGCAGGTAGTTTCACCTCAATACACATTTGCAAACTGCTACTACCTAAAACATAAGATGAATTTCCATTCTGCATTAAACATTACACAGACTTATTCTTTTTGAGGAACAGGTTTGGATAGTAGGACCAGTCTGATTGGGGTGGACTCAGATATAGTCATGGTTTGAGCTGACCTACAGAAACCAGTGTGGCCAGGGATTTCCATGAGATTACTTCATGCAAATTTAAATGTGGATGGAACCTAGTATACAACTCCAATCTATTCAAAATATTGTGTTCAGTTTAAGATTCAAATTGAGCTAATTGAAGCAACATGCCCACTTGAAATACAAACTCACCACATGATGTCAGGCAAGGGGAACGATTGAGTTGTCGGTTGAAACATGCACAAGGGAAACTCATTCCTACAGTTTCAAGTTCATGCTTCCTCTTTCTTAATAATCTTTTCCAATCCAGCTCCATCATATTCTAAGTAGCATCTTCTTCAATAACAGTGCTGGAGACACTATGCATTTTAATGAAAATGGAGAGTTGATTGCGGAGTTTGATGTTACCAATTGACTGATGCTTCCAATTGGCTGCTTGGATAGAGTGAAAGTAGGACACCTAAACCCCCAGGCTCCTGCAGGCCAAGGGTTAACCATTGATGATGACCAAATCAGGTGGCATGCAAGTTTTAATCAGGTGAGACAGAGCTGCAAATGCTTAACTAATTAAACATGGTTGACATGCCATTTACCAGTGATTTTACAACCCAGTGGTACATTATAAGTTGTGATGTGATTCAGTAATTCAGTATTGAAGAGTACACCCTATCTCCCTTGTGGAAGATGCTCAGATGTCCACAAATATGGATGGTTAAGGGCATTTGGTGGAAGGTTTGAGGCACAGAGGTAGGAAGTTGCACAACTGCTATGCATCATAATCTACCTTTTATGTAGAAAATGGCCATTTTCTGCTTGCTAGGTTTAAGAATTGTGAAGGGGATGGTATGGCAAGTGCTAACCCTCAGTCTCCATACACTGGCATTGCATTCTATTGTTTTCTCCTTTAGGTAGCCTTATGGAGAGGCTACCTAAGCCAGCATAGTTCCATCCTTGATGTTTTTGTCAAAAGACCATGGGATCACAATCTTGAACTTCAATGAGAACAGACCTGAAAGGGGTGCATTGCTTTTCAAAAGGTGATCTCTTGGCTCAAGGATCCGGTGAGACAAACATGTGGAATTGGAGAGCACCTGCACTTTTTCTGATGAGTAGGGCCTTGCACACCCACCCCCATATTCCTGTTCTCATGACATCACTTCATGCTAGCCACTTTCAAAGCTGCTGATAGTTCCCAACATTTCTCATAATTTCATTGACTGAATTGTTTTAGAAAAGAAAGCATTTGCTTCTCTTTATACACCATTCATCAACTCAGATAAGTAGTCATTTGTCTCCCTTGGTCCAGCCAGGGAGATAATGCATTTGTTGAATGTCTCACCAGAATTGTAAGGAAGGGTTAAGACCTACTCAATTTCTTTTTCAAGTCGGACTCAGGAGAAATATGTTGGGCATATGTAATGTCAGAATTAGATCCATCATGCCTAACAAGCCACCAATTTGACCCATGGGCAGTGACTAACTTTCTACAAAAAGAGAAGCTATAGGGTTCATCAGACATGTTTATTTCAGATTGTCTGTCAGTGTGATGAAAGCCAGCCAGAGTGGATTCAGCCATGTGAACAAATTTGTTGCTTGGTTCAGACAACATAACAAACTTCTTGAAAACAAAAATAACTAACAAGCCACCACAAGTTTCATGTTGTGTCAACCCATTCTCAAGACTCAGCCATCTACTTATTCTCTGTGCTTCTGTGCAAGTTCTGCCACTTTCTGTTTGTAATGACAACTGCTATCCAGGTTACTGCAGAAAAAAGAGGGAGATGGAACCATTTTGCTGCTATGACTGCACTGCATGTCCTAAAGGAATGATCTCTGACAAGAAGGGTAGGAGGCATCAAGTATACAGAGAGCCACCTACTGCATCTTATTCATTACTGTATATATGGTGAATATGTACTCCTTTCATTGATGTGAAAAAACTCCTGGACACAGAATTTAACAGAATCTAAGGACTAAACTGTTCTATTTTTGGACTGATAAATAAAAAAGTAGGATGCATAAATATCACCAGGTCTAACACCTCCCAGAATAAATACGGATGATGAGAGGGCATGTTGGCTTTCTTGGATGGAGAATTGCAATGTCACAGGACTGATTTCACTAGGACTGCGTGTATGCAGTGCAATTTCCTTAATTGGGAGTTTTGTACAATTAGAAGAAACACATGAACATGGAAGTGGGATGATGAGATTAGAACTATGTAATGGGACTCCTTCATGGATCACTGCCCTGTCATGGCAAAGGGGCTTGCGTAGCTCAATGAAGCTATGAGCTATGCCGTGCAGGGTCACCCAAGACAAACAGTTCATAGCAGAGAGCTCTGACAAAATGTGATCCACTGGAGAAGGAAATAGCAAGCCACTCCAGTATCTTTGCCATGAAAACCCCATGGACAGTACCAAAAGGCAAAAGATATGACGCCGGAAGATGAGCCCCTCAGGTCGGAAGGTGTCCAATATGCTACTGGGGAAGAGCAGAGGGCTAGTACTAGTAGCACCAGAAAGAATGAAGCGACTGGGTCAAAGCCAAAAGGACACTCAGTTGCTGATTTATCTGGTGGTGAAAGGAGAGTCCAATGCTGCAAAGATCTATACTCCATAAGAACCTGGAGTGTAAGAGCCATGAATCAAGGCAAGCTGGATGTGGTCAAACAAGAGATGGCAAGACTGAACATCAACATCTTAGGAATCAGTGAACTAAAATGGACAGGAATGGGTGCATTTAATTCAGATGACCATCAGGTATATTACTGCGGGCAAAAATCCCTCAGAAGAAATAAAAGAGTAGGAAAAGCTGTACTGGGATACAATCTCCAAAATGAAAGAATAATCTCAGTTCGAATCCAAGCAAACCATTCAACATCGCAATAGTCCAAGTCTATGCCCCAACCACTGGTGCTGAAGTGGCTGAAGCTGACCGGTTCTATGAAGGCCTACAACACTTTCTAGAATTAACACAAAAAAATGATGTCCTTGTCATCATGGGGGATTGGAATGCTAAAGTAGGAAGCCAAAAGATAACCATAATAACAGGCAAGTTTGGCCTTGGAGCACAAAATGAAGCAGGGCACAGGTCGGTAGAATTTTGTCAAGAGAATACGATGGTCATAGCAAACACTCTTTTCCAACAACCCAAGTGATGACTCTATACATGGACATCACCAGATGGTCAACACAGAAATCAGATTGACTATGTGCTCTGCAGCCAAAGATGGAGAAGCTCTATACAGTCAGTCAAAACTAGACCAGAAGCTGACTGTGGCTTAGATCATGAGCTTCTCGTTGCAAAATTAAGGCTTGAGTTGAAGAAATTAGGGAAAAGCACTAGGCCACTCAGGTATGACCTAAATCATACCCCTGATGAATATACAGTAGAGGTGACACATAGATTTAAGGAATTAGATCTGATAGACAGAGTGCCTGAAGAACTATGAATGGAGGTTTGCAACATTGTACAAGAGGTAGCAACTAAAACCATCCCAAAGAAAAAGAAATGCAAGAAAGCAAAATGGCTGTCAGAGGAAGCTTTACAAATAGCTGAGGAAAGAAGGGAAGCAAAAGGCAAGGGAGAAAGAGAAAGATACAAACAATTGAATGCAGAATTCTAGAGAATAGCTAGAAGAGATAAGAATGCCTTCTTAAATGAACAGTGCAAAGAAATAGAAGAAAACAATAGAATAGGGAGGACTAGAGATCTCTTCAAGAAAATTGGAGATAGGAAGGGAACATTTCATGCAAAGATGGGCATGATAAAGGACCAAAATGGCAGGGACCTAACAGAGGTAGAAGAGATTAAGAAGAGGTGGCGAGATTACATGGAAGAAATATACAAGGAAGAGCTTAACATCCCTGATAACCACGATGGGGTGGTCACTGACCTTGAGCCAGGCATCCTGAAATGTAAAGTCAAATGGGCCTTAGGAAGTCTGAGCAACAACAAAGCTAGTGGAGGCGACAGTATTCCAGCTGAGTTATTCAAAATCTTAAAAGACGATGCAGTAAAAGTGTTTGTCTGTTTTTGTCATCAAATTGACCTGAGTGATGGTTACAGTGTCAACAAAAACCCTCCAAACAGCCTGTTTCTGATAGCCCTGCTGAGCTCTTGGAAACTCAGTGGTTTGGGTCCTTTTTCTATATATAGACAGCACATACAATCTTTCCTCCTCCTCCTCCTCCTTTTCCTCCTCCATATGCCTTTGACTTTCCACTGAATGAATGTGAATCTTGCCCTCTCACTATTGTTCCAAAGAGGAAATAATATTATAGGAACCTAAAAAGCAGCCTTCAATGTTCTCTGGATTGAACTCAGCCAAGTAGCATTTCCTTGTTAGATACTATTGACACTGATATAGAATGTCCAGCTGAGAGAAGAAGAATATCAGTTTCTCCACAAACCTGGAATGAGGACAAGTTATGTTTATGGGAAGACTGAAAAAAATCAGATAAAAATATAACACAAGCAGTATATTGGCAGAGGCCAAATTCAATTGGTTAAATTTAATTCAATTACAAAAATGGATAAATATGGAGCATAAATTTAAAGAAGAAGGAAGACAATTAACAAATTTGTAATGATTATAAAAGAATGTGAGACTGAGGAAGGATACACAAGCAAAGGAAAAACTTTGTAGAATATTAATGGAGTTAGGGGATCAGAAAAAAGTCTAAAATCAATTTGGGAAATGGATGTAGGGGAAATAACAGAGAAGGAATGAAGGAATATTTGGAACAGAAGAGTATATAAGAATATGTCACTCAGAATTAAAGAACATGAATATAAAGAGATATGGAGATGGTATTTAACATCAGTTAAGTTAAATCAAATTGACAATAAATACTCTAATTTATGTAAAAGATGTGGGAAAGGATTTGGAACTTACGAACATATGTGGTGGGAATGTGATAATATACAAAAAAATTGGATTATGGTGTTTATTGAAATTAGAGAAATTATAGATTTAGAAATGTCACCAAGAATTCTGTTGTTGCTGTTGATTGAAAAACAAGATAGAAATGAAGTGAAGGAAGAATTAATCCTAAATTTGATAATGGCAGCTAGGTTAGTGATAGTTAAATATTAGAAACAGAATGGGGTTTTGCAAAGGCACAAATGGCAAAATGAAATATGGAATATGGTAATTAATGATAAACTGACAATAGAAATAAAAATCAAAAAGGGTTAATAAAAGCAAATAAAGATAATGGAATTTGGGAAGATTTGGTAAAAGCAGTACTCATAGAAGGTAAATGTAATAAACCTAATCAAGATTACATGGATTTTTGGAGGGGATATGGATATAATTGAAGTATATTATACACTATTAATTGTTATAATATATGAATTAAAGTGGAGATATTATTGGTCTCCAGGGTGGTGGGGGCACTGTATTATTTACTTCTTTAATTATTAGTTGAGATGTTGTTCTTATTATTCATATTGTGATGTGTTTGTATTTATGTTTTTTTCCTGTATTTAAAAAAAAAAATAAAAATGGGGGGAAGTGATGTTTATGGGACAGGGAGGAGAAGGAAGTGTTAGGATGCACAAATGCCATTCAGTCATACCATAAATCATGGTACAAAACAGTTGGTATTACACGTTTAACATGACCTGGATGGAAATATGGGTCTGTACACATCTCAAAGCAAACCAAGTGGATGGTGATGGTGAGAAAGTTCCTTCCAAAGTGTGGAGGCAACACAGAAGAAATTTCTTTCACAGGTACCCAGAAAACTAGTCTTTTGTTTTCTATTGGTGACCTCAAAAGGGACCATTTTAAAAAGTCATTTAAATACATGGACAGATTCTTATTGAAACACGTTATCCCTTCAGAGAATCAGGTGATCTTTCCTTTTCTGCCTACACTGTTTTGGCTGTAGCACAAGATAGACATGGAATAAACAAATTTAGGAGACAATGCTATGCATGTTAGCCAGGAAAAAATTCTAGAACTCGTAGCACTCCACCAGTCAGTCATCTGTTTCATGTGGGACACCATCTAAATAAACTGCAGGATACAGAGTCTGGTGGCTTGAAGATCATGGATGGCCTGCTCGCCTCCAAGCATTGGATGCACAGAAGCCTCCAGGTTTAGAGGTTCACATCCATTGAGGGTGGAGGCCATGAGACGTCCCATGTAGGGAATTAGCATTTATGAGCAACACATTGAGTTCACCTCAAAAGTGATCAGAAACCAAAGTAGGTCTTCCATGGACTGTGAGAAGTGAATTCAAGACAGAGAAATTGTAATTCAGAATTTATGTGCTTGAGTCTTTCATCTTCCTTAAGCTACGTTTGAATATCCAAGTATATTAAAATTGTCTGAGTGTTTCACAGCGTCAAAATACAGAACCATTAAAATAGATACAGGAAAATCATTGGCCTGCAACTGCCATGTTCAAATTAATCCAAGGTTACAACAGCTCTAAGGCGTAATAAAAATGAAATACAGTATAAACACAATCTATTTTGGATCTTCGGAGCCGCCCCGAGGTTTTGGCGAATGCGGTGGCATAGAAGCCTTCCAAATAAATAAATAAATAAATAAATGATATTTATTTTTAGGCTTTCAATATTATTTAACTTTTATAATGAAGGAAGAATAAAAAGTTTCTACCTGGCACTGAAAGGACAAGCAAGAGTGCACAAGGAACACCTTATTGAAGAGTGGATTCCACAACTAGGGTGCCACAACTCAGACGACCTTTCCCTGAGTAGCCACAATTTTAATTTCCTTTAGGGGTGACTCTCAGACAAGAACCTGCAGAGATGATCACAGAGTTTGGGTAAGCATATAAGAGAAGGGACATTCCTTTACATAGCCTGGCCCCAAGCTATTTCAGACTTGATATATTAATGAACACACTTTGAATTTGACTTCAGTTGGTAACAAATGGAGATGGAAGATGGCTAACATGATATGCTTATATTGGTCAGTCCACATCAGCAGGCTTGCTGCTCTATTTTGAACTAACTCTGATTTCTGGACTATTTCAAAGGTCACCCCATGAAGAGTGCACTGCAGTTGTCCAAGTGAGTGGTTACAGGAAAATAGACCACTTGTTGCTATGCTCTGCCTGTCCAGATAGGGTTATAGTTGATAAATCAGCCTAAGCTGTTATTTATTAACATAAGATATCTAAATAAAATACAATGGGAATTCATTTACAGCATTGGTTTACAAAATCCAGTTACAAATCCACATTCCCATTGAATTTGGGATCATTAAATATAGGATTAAAAGAGTGAGATGAGGGAGGGAGGTTATTGGCGGGCATTGAGTAAGTGTGGAAGTGTGAGAGGAGAGAGGGCAGGCAGAAAAAGTTTGCCAGGACGCAGTTACGCCTGAGAGAGAGGTGGTCTGTCAGCAGCTACAGGCAAGGGATATTTGTGAGATGGTAACAGACATAGATGTGGTCCATCAGTAGTTTGCAGAGCCTGAAGAGGCGGCTTTCTCATGAGCATCCTACAGAGTGCTGTTCAAAGCATTTAAGAGTCAAACAGAAAGGGGAGGCAGTAGAATATTTGGAGGACGTGTTAGTGAGTTAGAAGAGTTGGAACCTAATACTGTCAAGTGTTATAAGAGTGCGTGAGAGAAAAACCTGCTGAAACCTGAGAGCAGGAGGGAAAGGAGGATCTGGGTGCAAGGAGTGAATGTGAAGGCAAAGAGTGATCTATCTCAGTCAAGCATTATTCTCGTGCATTGTTTTAATGAAGAAGAAAGAATTACAGAACATTGTGAAAATATTATGCTTATTTTACAAAGAACATTTTATTTTGTTTATTGCTAACACAGAGTCATATTCTGTCTGATTATCAACATCTCATCCTCAGAACCATGTAGTCCAGACAAGGAGGAATCTTACAGGTTGGCACAACACTGAGCAAGGTTAATTAATTAGAATGGTCTTAAATACCTGGTGTCACTGTAACCTCCTAAAAGGAAGAGACAGAGATAAAGAAGGCTAAAGACACTCCATATCCCAAAAGATATGGGAGTGTCCTTGTGACATTTTTCTTCTGTCTTGTCAAGAAGATGTTCTGCCTTCTATCTGTATCCTCCAGTTATATCAGTTCTATGTAGAATGCAGATTTATTGTTATAAACAGTTTTTCACCATAATGCTATGATACTGGTTAAATGACTAGGAAATCAATGAATGGGGGGAAAGTGTTTTTAAAGGTCTGTTGATACCCCTCAAATAAGAATGTGATTAATATATGACTTTGAAAAATACTCCTTGAAATTTCTCACACATAATGCAACTTCAAAAGCTAGCAACACCTTGGGGAGGTGATAACCTCCCATAACATTCTCTAAATTACTGTTTTCCATTTTGTGGCTCAGTGCATTGCCCCAGTTCACAGATCAGACAGCATCTGGAAAGAAGTCAAATGTATCTTCCGACACTGGTGGACAAAGAGGTATTATTAGCTGCAAAACCATTCTACTGGGGCACAGATTTCCCAATACACCAGGCAATAAATCACGTCAATTAGCAATGCAAACATTCACTACTGAATGGAGGAGTGGCCCCTTCTGAAAACAGAACCTATTAAACCCATAGATGGAAGGAAGCATGAACAATGACTTTTGTGGGGGACGATTTCTCAAAATGTTCCTCAGGGTGATGCTGCTCCTCTCACTGCTTCTTCCAGGTCATGCTGTGTGCAAGAGACATTCTATCAATTGCACCACAACCGATGATCCTCTCCCTATTCCTCATAAATTTTATCAACCAGGTGATGTTGTCATTGGTGGCATTGTTTCTCAGGTCTTCTTCCACCATAATATCCTTTCTTTTGTGGAACAGCCTGCACAGACACGGATCGGTGAACCAATGTAAGGCCTTGTTTCTTCTCTTTCTTTTCCAAATATTTATAGTTCAGTATGTAAGTGCACCATGAATCACCTAGCACAATTTAGTTACTCCTTGATGTATGGTTGGTTGGCAAAAACACTTCTGGTAAAAATATCACATGTTAAAACATGGAAGAATTAGATTTTTCCATGCATCTCCTCTTCATTCTCTCTCATTGGTTGCTTCTAATTCAGTCCCTGTCTTCTGGATTTCCTTTTTCATATGGTTCTACTTTGGAAATACTTTCTTTTTAAAATGGTGGACTGGTCCTTGGCACTATTCACTACCCTGGAATTTCTGGGATATTATCTGCAAATGTAGGTGTGTTTATGGAATCTTGCAGCAATCCCTTTTCTACCTTAATATTGAACTATATAAAAAACTTCAGTAGCATGCACTTAATTGCCTTCCTATGCCCTTGACATCAAGTAATATGAATGATCTGCCAGGAGTATTGTGGACTTGTATCATGCTTTTGCATATTTTATCCTTAGTCAAAAAATTCTCAGCCATTAGTAAATATACCACAAGTTGAAAAATGGGGAGATTTAGATTTTCCCACACCCCTCCTCATTCTGCCTCATCCATGGTTGCTTCTCATTCAACCCCTCCCTTCTCGATTATTGTTTCATACACTTCTACTTTAGAAATATTTTCTTTTATAAAACAGTGGACGATTCTCAGTGATGAATCTAAGTGGAGATTACTTTTAAAAAGAAAGGACATATGGGCTCTTTACTGGATTTTGTTCCTTGTGTTATTGTCATAAGTATGCAAAACATTTCACTCTGATGAATGCATGCTCTACTGTATTAAGTACTTGAAAGACCCCAAAATATTGTGAGAATTCAGTTTCTGAAGGGAAAAAATACCTGTTTTTAAGTTTTCCTTTCTTTTATCTCCCTCTCCTATTGCCATTTGCACTGCTACCTGATGCTTTAAGCTATAGCTCAATCTTGAAAACAAATACATGGTGATTATTATGATAGTGGTGGTGCTGATGCTGTCTATAAAAAAGATGTCCACTCTTCTTCCAGTTCTGTGCCCAAGAACTACCAACATGTCCTGGCCTTGGCATTTGCTGTGAAGGAGATCAATGAGGATCCAAGAATCTTACCTAATATCACCCTGGGGTTCCACATCTTCAATAGCTACTACACAGCAAGAATGACCTTCAAGGCTATCCTGAACCTCCTTTCTACACAGCACAGGTTTGTCCCCAATTTCAAGTGTCATAACCAGAATAATGTGATCGCTCTCATTGGAGGTTGCCTCTCTGAAATCTCTGCCAATATAGCTATCTTTTCAGCAACTCATAGGACTCCACAGGTAAGCGGGGTCAAGTATGCCCAGAGTTTTCATAGATCTGGCACAGGATCTTCACTTCAGCCAAGCTCCTGATGAATTTCATGATCAGTTAGCAGTTTCATTAGATGCAGGCAAAGGGTCAGGCTAGGCAGGTATATTCACCACTTTTCAGAAAACCAGTCTGAATCTGACTCCTCATCAAAGTGGAAGGAGGTTTTAGTGGGATGTCACTGGACTCTTCACCATCCCACTCATCCAAGAAAAAATATTGCATAGAGTGGCTCAGGTGAATAGAACCACAAATGTACTCAGTTGCACCATTCAAATGTTTAATTTATTTTCTAGTTCTTCCTGAAAATCAAAAAATAAGAGAAATCTATGTGTTTTTTTTTTAAAAATGGTTAAATATATGCAACCAAGCACCAAAAAGCAGAGAAAGTGAAATCACAATTGAGCTCGAAATACATATGTACCCTCCACTAACCACTATTTTGATACCTCTGAAAAAAGGTTCCTCTCCTCCTCCCAAAAGCCCATGTTCTGACATTTTCCTTCATTATCAGCAACATCACCAGGTGCAAGGTAATTAGGGAATAAAGATTATATGCACTCCCCTTCACTGGTAGCAGTGCTGTTCTCAGCATTGCAGAGCACCATCTCTGATTATAGGACATGTCAGCAAAGACTTTCAGCTTACTTCCTCATTCATATGCTTGTGGGACTTTGCCCAAACATGCCAGTTTCTTACCATGCAAATTTTAAATGTGCAGGTTTTTAACGTGCCTTAACAAAAGGCACAATCTCACATGCCTTGTAAATAGGTACATGGAATTTATCCCATCAATAATGAAAATCAGTTGTGATGGGGGAGAGAGAGTAGGGAGAGCTACTAAGTGTATCCAAGCTCATCTTTAATCCACTGACTAGCAATAAGCTAACATGCTTACTTCAGGAGCTGCATGAAGTAGAATGTTGAGTAAGAATTGCTTTCCATTAGAAGAACAATGGAATGTCATCACTGTCTGAGCGGAGAGCACATTGGTCTCTTGACAAATCATGACTTTAAAAGGTGACATTATTTTTGACAAAAACTTACTTTCAACACTAGAAGGAAAAATTGGTTTCAACACAGGAAGGAATGTGACATTTTTGCTTCCAATTTTCATTCCTGAAACACTGAAAATAGATCGAAATGTCAAAATTTGTCATGGCAAACTTAGGGTTTTCAAAATGAAGTCATTTTTATGGAACATGAACATGGAACAAATATTAATTTTGTTTAAACTGAATGCCTTCCCATTATCACTTCAGAAGATTCTGGAAATTCAATGTGGAGATGGTCCTCTGCAGAAACACTACTGCTATGGTGCCAGTAATACATGTTTTCCTAAGAATTCTCACTGCTGATTCAGAGTTAATTTTACACTGCCTCTCCTATTACAATGCATACTGCATGCATTGCAACTTTAGCTGCCTAAATGAAAACACCATGCAGTGAAAACTAAGAGTTCCATTTTATTGGAACTCTTCTATTGGATCTAGTTCAGGGTGCTGACTTTCAAGATGATACACAGATTGAGGGAAGTTGAGAGGAATGGAAAGGGGTATGAAAAAAAAGGCTCCCAATTCAAGTTTAAAGGCATTGTGCATCTTTAGCCTGAAAAAGAGGGTAGTAACTTGGGAGATCAAACAACTTGTCTAGAACTGCCATTACAGAAAAGAGGACAACAACTTGTCCGTTGCACTGCAGAAGGTATGCCTATATTTTAACTTAAAATTCATAAATAGTATCTGAATACTAAACACAGTCAAGCAATGGAAATTAATGACCCTGGGGGATGCTCTGTTCTACTGCTGAACTTTAACACAAAAGCTACTCAACTACCTGATATAGGATATATAACTTTGAGTTATAGGACATGCTTTCCTTACCCGTATGACCAACAGGAACACCTGCAACTTAACCATTGCATGATTTAAGATTGTCTCCATCTATCCAAACACATTTATTTTCAGCTCACCTATGGATCATTTTTGCCACCACAAGGTGCCAAAAAGCAAATGCCCTTTTTGTACCAGATGGTTCCAAATGAAGTCCAGCAATACCTAGGAGCTGTGCGACTGCTTCAGCATTTTGGATGGACATGGATTGGGCTTGCAGCTGTGTATGATGACAGAGGGAACAGGTTCTTACAGACCATGGTACCAATGCTTTCCCAGCATGGAATCTGCTATGAATTCATTCTAAGGATCCCAAAATTGGATTACGTGGATGAGATAATTGGCTGGGCTTGGAAGGACAGGAAGAGCTTTGAAATTGCCTTTGCGAGCAAAGCCAATGTTTTCTTTGTATATGGAGAGCCTCCATCAGTTCAAATATTGAGAATATTGCTTTTTGTAGCACCTGTCTTGGGATTGCCACCACTGTGTAAAGTGTGGATTGTTACTTCCCACTGGGATTTTGCCTTACTGCCTCTTCACAGAAATTGGGATACACAGACTTTCCATGGTTCCATCACTTTCAGTGTCCACTCAAACCAGCCCTTAGGATTCCGCAAGTTTGTGCAGATGGTTAAACCTTCTTGGGCCAAAGGAGATGGTTTCATTCAAGACTTCTGGGAAAATGCATTCAACTGTTTACTAAGCATGGCTGATGTGATGCAGGAGGACAAAGAGAGCTGCTCAGGGGATGAGAAGCTGGAGACTCTTCCTGGAATCTTGTTTGAAATGAATATGATGGGCCACAGTTACAATGTGTACAATTCTGTCTATGCTGTGGCACATGCTGTGAATGCAATATATGAATCCAGCTCCAAGCACAGAAAATGGGTAGGGAGAGAGAGCCTGGCCATACAGAATGTCCAACCATGGCAGGTAGCTGTACCACAGTACTATTTTGCAAACCAATGGTACTTAAAACATCCAAGGGATGTCAGCTCTACATACACAATAACATTTCTTTTATCCTTTTGTAAATACAGTTTTATTGTAGTATCAGTCTGACTGGGATATACCCAGATTTAGTCATGCGTAGAGTTGATGCACAGAAATCTGAGTTTTCCATGAGTCTACAGTACAGAAGTCTATGCAGCTCTGATCTATTCAGATTATTATATCTAACTGACCACACAAATTGAGCTAATTGGAGCAGCATGCCAAGTAGAAATATCAATTCTCCAAATGGTTTCAGGGAAGGAGAATGATGGAGATGTAGGTTGAAACAAGCCCAAGGGATGCACATTGATGCATTTTGAAGATCATGTTCTCCCTTTCTTCAAATTGTTTCTGAATCCAGCTCCATCACTTTCTAAGCAGCATCTCGTTCAATAACACTGCTGGAGACACTGTGCATTTTAATGAAAATGGAGAGTTGGTTTCAGAGTTTGATGTTACCAACTGGTTGCTGTTCCCCAATGGCTCAGTGGTTAGATTAAAAGTTGGAAGGCTGGACCCCCAGGCTCCTGCAGGCCAAGAGTTAACCATTGATGATGACCAAATCAGGTGGCATGCAAGCTTTAATCAGGTGAGTCACAGCTGCAAATGCTTAAATATTTAGATGCTCCTCTTGATTGATGGGGTACTTACAAGCAATTTGACCACCGAGTCTTATGATAGAAGTGGTTGAGTAATGGATAGTGTGGCCCTGTCACCCTTGTGGCTGATGATCAGAAGCTCACAAAATGTGGGGGGTTAAGAGTATCTTGTACAAGGCTTGAGGTTCATAAGACACCACGAGGCTTCATCCTGTTTGAGCCCATTCTTTCAAGCCACAGCATGTGCTCATGTTGTATCAACCCATTCTCAAGACACAGTCATATACTTTTCCTCTTCCACTCTGCTTCTTTGCAGGCTCTACCTCTTTCTGTGTGCAATGACCACTGCTATCCAGGGTACAACAGGAAAAAGAGAGAGAGGGAGCCATTTTGCTGCTATGACTGTGCTGCATGTCCAAAAGGCATGATCTCCAACAGGAAGGGTAGGAGGCATCATGTACACAGAGAGACACATATTGACTCTTATTCATCACTGTTTATATGGCGAATGTGTGCCCCTTCAGAGCACATGAAAATAGTCCTCAACACAAAATTAAAAAAAAACTCAATTACTATTTTTGGACAGATGAAATAAAAATAAGCCGCTCAAACTTCATCTGCTACACTTTAGCTCCAAAATTTGTCAGAATTAATAGTGGTGATGGGAGGCATGGCTGGATTCATTTGCTTGGGAGTTCCAATGCCTACCCAAACATGGATTTCTCTATTATTGAGTGCAGTGAGTGCCATCTCCTCAAGAGGGCAGTATCATAAAAAAACAACAGAGATCCATTGTAAGGCCTATGCACTTTATAACTCAGGAAATGGTAGCCCAAGAAGAGTTTCTATACTAGAATTTATTAGCGAGGAGAAAGTCCTCTAGGGCACAATGCAAGCATATGTGTGTGAAAGAAGTCGACCATGCAAAGCATACCTGTAGGTATGTTGTGGGAAAGGCATGCTGGCAACTGAAGGACTTTTTGCTGTCTAAACCCTGAGTATTGATCCCTGAGTCATTTAAGCTTCTAGACTGCATCATCCAATAATGAGTCAAGATCAGAAAAGAAAAGGATGCCAGGAAAACTTCTCCCATTGGAGGGGCACATCCTCCCAAACACTACCTGTGCTGAAAGTCCACCCCCACACACACTTTCAACCAGATGAATGTTCTGAATACGCTTCCAAAGCTCCCCATCGTACAATGCAGTGAAGCAATGGAGTCTTGCTACACTTTCTCGAGTTACCACCATGACCACCTCCACTTTCCATAGGAACTGGCCTGGCTGGCAGAGCAGCCAATGCAGGACAAATACATCACTCCCCTTTCAGAGGGCTGCCACCTTCTCATTCAGGGCAAGGCTATCAAGCAATTCAGTGAGATAAGACAAATACTATGTTTATTTTCTATTAATTTCCTGGCAGTTTTCATCTCAGAGCCCTGAGTTGAATCACAGAGTAAAAGCAGACTATCAAGTATATCACAGACTTTCAGTCCAACCTAGCTCACAGCGTTCTATTCGTGAGGAAAAGATTGAGAGAAGGGGGAGAATTATGTAAGACACCTTGAGTTCCTTCAAATAAAAAAGGCAGGATATAAATAGAAAAAAATGAATAACTAAACTTGACCAGAAAGGGTATCTTAATTGTGAGCAGGAATATACAGACCTTGAGGTCTGAAGTAGTACAACATTTTTGTGTGAAACAAACAGGTCCAGATTGGCAGCTTTAGTAGAATGGCTGCTCGATGTGCCAGGAGAATGAACCCAGGGATTTAAGTCCTTCCCAAATGCAAAGGACAAATAAACGGCCTTTTATTTAAAATAATGCATTTTACTGTTCTTTTCAGCAAATGTTTGCTAGTGGTTTTTGTTTTTGTTTTTCAAATGCTTGATCAGTGTTTCTTTTTTTCAGACATGGATGCCTGTGTCAAATGTCCAGAAGAGCAGTATCCCAGCAAGAAACAAACCCAATGCATCCCCAGGGATCTAAGTTACCTCTCTTATGGAGAAGCTCTAGGGATCATCTTGATTTTCTTAGCTATTTGTTTCTCATCCACTACAGCTTTGGTGCTTGGATTTTTTCTCAAACACAAGGAAACTCCCATAGTCAAAGCCAACAACCGAAGCATCACATACATCCTCCTCATCTCCCTCCACCTCTGCTTCCTCTGCCCCTTGCTCTTCATTGGACAACCGGGAAAGGTGACCTGCCTTCTCCGACAAATGATTTTTGGCATTATCTTCTCTGTGGCCCTTTCCAGCATCTTGGCCAAAACCATCACTGTGCTTCTGGCATTCATGGCCACCAAGCCAGGCTCCAGGATGAGGAAACGCATGGGGAAAGGACTGGCCAATTCTATTTCACTTTCTGGCTCCTTAATTCAAGCAGCCATTTGTGCACTTTGGCTGAGCACGACCCCTCCATTTCCAGATGTGGACATGCATTTACTGGTTGAAAAAATCATTCTGGAATGCAATGAGGGCTCTGCTGCCATGTTTTATTGTGTCTTGGGCTACTTGGGATCACTGGCTATAGTCAGCTTCATTGTGGCTTTCCTAGCCAGGAAGTTGCCCAACAGTTTTAATGAGGCCAAGTTCATCACCTTCAGCATGCTGGTCTTCTGCAGTGTGTGGATATCCTTTGTTCCAGCCTACCTGAGCACCAAAGGGAAATATGTGGTGGCTGTGGAGATCTTCGCCATCTTGTCGTCCAGTGCTGGGCTGCTGGGTTGCATCTTTGGCCCCAAATGCTACATTATTGTACTAAGGCCTGAGCTGAACAACAGGGAGAACCTAATACGAAGGAAGAACTGAAAGGATGGGACATTCTATTAATTGTATTAAATGTTCTATTAAACATTTGATTAATTTTCCTGGAAATGCTAATACTTAGAATGTGAACAGAATTTGAAAATTAGTGCTTGCATAGACAGACACTCTTGCTTAAATTCTTTTGTGCTCAAGTAAGCAGGTATCCCCCCTTCAAATGGATCCCTATCTTGAATTAACTAAGACCATGTGCTACCTGATACCATGTCCACAAGAAATGTTTCATCATGGAAGCCAGACAAGATGAAAGGTGCAGCTGGCAACTATTCTTCTGCCATATCTGTTAGGAAAGTGAAGACACTGCCAGGGTAGGAACTTTTTCCAGATGAAAGATGGGCATTGCAATACCACTAATCCAAAAGATGCTGCTAATTATAGGACCTAATAATATTCAGCCAATGACCTCTGATTTTGATTGGATTAACCTGAATAAAAAAGAAACAGTCTAGCTCAATTTGCTGAATACATTTATTTTTGGTTATTTTTTTACACTATTTCAGATATGTTGTGTCATCTCTTTTGGAATCTTGTCTTTGTGTCCTTGTAAATATGAAAACATTTACCCAGTTGAACTTTTTTTCTGTAAACTGGAAAACACTGTTTCTTGAAATGTTGTGCCTGTTGTTGTCAAGCATTATTTTAATGTTTCACCCCATACTTTCATCTATTAGTTCTAAAAACTATTTTGCAAAAAACATAAATTGGGGACCTTTTATCATATGTGGTGGACTTGTGACAATGTGAGAAATTACTGGATTAAAGTACATAAATGGCTTGAGGAAATGCTACAAAAACCTTTAGCTTTTAAACCTGAAGTTTTCCTATTAGGCATTATACCGGAAGATATTAACAAACAAGAAATGTATTTGACGTTGCTGCGGCAAGGATTGCATTTGCCCAACATTGGAAACTGAAATAAGAAAGATTCTGGACTGTGCAGAAATGGATAGATTAACTTTACCACTGAAGGAGAAAGAAGATACTGACTTCTATCAAACTTGGGAACTTCTTTATTATGGGCTGGAAAAACAGGACTTGGCTTAGATTTAAAGATGTCTTTAAGTTGTTATAAATAGATTTGACTATGATTATGGAAAGTTAAAAAATATGTAGTAGGGGGCTGACCCAGTATGTCCAATGTATTTGATGATTGATGTTTTTAGTAGTAGAAATCTTAATAAAAATCTTTAAAAAAAATGTGTGGTGTTCCCAAAATGCATTAAATGGGAAGCTTTTTATTGAGATCTAAAGAAGGTTAAGCATCATGCAAAATAACAAATTTTGCTATTTTTGCTAGTTTTTTGGAGTGTGATCATCTCTGTAAAATTAAATGAGAAACTCTGACTTGGGCTTGCTTGTTTAGGAGGAGTGAACATGCATAAAGTGAGGCTAAGATTATTTATTGTTCTGACCCTTTAATTTCCAATTTCTTACCAGAAAGGAGCTTCATGAGGAGCCTGAATAATAAAGTGAATTTGTACCTCATTTCTACTAAAATGAGGCTTGGGCTTACCCCATATTATGCATCTCCATAAGTATTTGACTATCTCATTACAGTTACAGAAGTTTTTTTCTCCAGTCAACAAAATAACAGAAGACACCGTACTGTATGATTATTCTAGGAACACTCAGAATAAAGAATTGAAACTTTTTCTGCCTAAAATCAGCCTTAGTCCATTCCAAATGTGACATCCATGCATCCAATTTTCTATGAGTCTCCCTACCATAGTGCCCTGCCCAGTGTTTCCTTTTGGCATAAGACACTCTCATGGATCCTGCCCGATGCAATGCATGCACTATGCAATTTAAAAGAATAAGAAATGGAAAATCTGCACAAGACACTAACAATAATAGCTACTCTCTGGATATCTGAATATTGTATAGAGGTTACACTCTCCAAATGATGTGGCAGTCAAAGATTATTCATGGATAAGAAATGCCCAGTTCTCCCTCCCTTCCTCCCCTAACGGGGTTCAGATGACACATGAAGCCACAGTGGGTGAGAATGCCGTCCAAACCCAGTATCACTCCCATTGAGTTCTTTATAGCCAGCCCTAGGCTGGGATCCAGATAAGGTCCAGGTTGAGCTGGGCTGGTGGGACCAGATTGTCAGGTTGCCCTATCTCCTGGTTTGTTTAAAAGATACTTCAAGCCCCTGATACTGCTACACAGAAGCTCAGGTTGCCCTGCTGTATGACGTGAACTTTGGTGCAAAGTGGGACTCTCCCCCAGCTGTAGAACAATGCAAGGTAGATTCAATATCCAATAATGGGTTTGTATGCTGTAGAAGACTGAAGAAGCTGATGAAGATGTTGGAATAATTTCTTTGAGCACAAGGCCAAGTGGAAAGGTCTAAGCATCTATGAGTGCATGAATACAAATTTGCAAGGGAACAAAATGCACATAGTCCTCAATGCTAATGGAGCACAGATGGAAGGGAGTGTTCAGCTTATCTTTCAGTTTCATTAATGCTTTGTTTCAAAACAGAATTGCTTTCCTGGTTGAAAGTTTTCTGTACAAAAGCTCCCACAAGGCAGCTTTGATATCCTTGTTCCACATGCTGTAGATTATTGGGTTCATCATTGGAGGTAAAACAGAATATATCACTGTAAGAGCCTTGTACAGATTATATGAAGAACTGGATGTGGAAATGACATTGGAAAAAATACCAGTGAAAATTAATAAGGAGACAACAGGTGGGGGATGCAAGTGGAGAATGCCTTTTGCCTCTTTGCCACAGAAGGCATTCTAAACACTGTACTAAATATTTGCACATAGGATATGACAATAAATGCAAAACAGACAAGACCTAGTATTACACTGAAGAGAAGAGCTGACATTTTACTGAAGTATGAATCAGAGCAGGAGATCTCGATGAGGTGTGGAATTTCACAGAAGAACTGATGGATCTTGTTGGAGCAGAAGGGCAGAGAGAAAATGGTACCCCTGTGCAAAGCAGCATTGAGCAAACCGGCCACCCATGCCCCACCTGCCAACTGGATGCAGCTGCTCCACCTCATCAGAGATGCATAGTGCAGAGGCTGGCAGATGGCAACATATCTGTCATAGGCCATGGCAGCAAGAAGAAACAAATCTGATGACAGGAAAAACGCAAAGAGAAGAATTTGTGCAGCACATTCAGAATATGAAATCTGTGTGGTGTTTCTGAGGGCATTGGCTATTGATCTGGGAATGGTGAATGAACTGGAGCCAACATCAACAATGGACAAGTTGACAAGGAAGAAATACATTGGGGTCTGCAGGTGGGTGTTCAAAGCCACCAGAAGGATGATGAGAAGGTTTCCCATAAGGACAGCCAGGTACATTGCCAGGAAGAGTACAACATGTAAAATCTGAAGCTCGTGTTCCTCTGAAAATCGCAACAGCAGGAAATCCATTATGAGAGTTATGTTAGGCATGGCTTCACGTATATATTGACTGTTGGAGGAAAAGGAAAGACCATAATGAATTCCTTGCTTGTGTGAGAATGAAAGCTGTCATATAAACTACTGACAGTGTTAGTTCCACAAAGATATTTGCAGGTGTAACAATTAGTTTGGAAGCCTCCTTTTTAACCCAAGAGACAGTCAATCAAGTAGCAATTTTCTTTTCGTCAGGAAGGGTAGCATTCAAATGTGATCTAGCACATTATGTCAGTTCATACAGTGGGATACTGCTATTGTGCCAAGTTTATACTTAACTACTTCTGGATATAAAACTGTGTAGCTAGTAATCCTCAGACATGTTGTTGATCAAGCCACATGTTCCCTCAGAAGTTATTGTGCAACTCAGAAAACAAAACATCAAAAGACCTAGTGTTGGATCCATACTTAGCCATGCTTAAAGAAGGCCTACTGGAACCAATAGGGCTTATTTAGGATTTCAGCAAGCCTACATTAACACAACTATGCTTGAATCCATCCCAGTAGTCTTCAGAAAATATTGGTTCATATATAAAGAAATTACAGAGTCCTTTTGCAAGACTTGCCTGTTCTGTGTTTCAGGTGGTGATCATACATATATGTCCTTAGAGGTAAATTCCATGGAGCACAGTAAGAAATACTTCTGAATAAACATTCAATGGATCATGTTGTACATCATCTGTTCCAGTCACATTGCTCACTTATGTATAAAAATAACACTGCCTAAACATTTCTTTTTTAAACATTTCTTTTAACACGTTAAACATGAAAAGAAATGTCAAAGACTTCACATCTGAACAATCACACACACACAGACACACACATACTTCCAGATCTAAGGGGGAGACTGCTCAGAGCTGGGAATTTTGGAGTTCACTTAAGATACCACAGTGGCTGATCTGTGAGGTCAGGAAAGCAACCTAAGAGGCGGGGGGGGGGGAGTTTTGGATGATGAAAAGAGCAGAAGGTATCTTGAAACTATTCCACCCTTCTTCCCACCTTCTCTGAGATGCTGCAGGTAGATGAACAAAAAAAGCATTTCTAGTGGAAAAGGAAATGTGGAAGGCAAAGCATTTAAACAGGACTGGAGGGGTTGCTGGAAGAAAGGGGTGAAGATGCCAACTTTAGTCAGTTAATTTGCTTTTGCATAAATCTAACCCTAACCCTCTGCTTTGCATGAATATGTCTCCTAATAGTTACTTACCTGGAAATGAAGAATGGTATTTTCTTTGCCGAGAAGCAGTGACCAAGTACACCCAGTAAACAAGTCAGCAGCATGTGTTGGGGCATTCCAGGCACCATTAGCCTGATTACCTGCCTGAGTGCTGCTTGTCATGTCATCTGAATTTGGGCAGCATGGATTGTTTGAGGGCAAACAACTGAAGAAAAATTGTCCTAATGACCAAACAGCAAGGGTCAGTTACTTAGTGTTCTCCCACACAGACTCAAAGCGTTTAAAATATAAAATAAACCTCTGTCAAGAAGGTCAAAATTTGTATAGATAAGCATGGAAGCAAATGTTTTGACACCAAATGTCCTCAAAAGACTTGTAGTTCATGATAACCATGTACAAAAGTAACTGAATGTTTTCTGCTCTGATGTTTTCTGTTATTAATCATTGAAAAATTCTAATATATAAATCCACTATGTATGATGACTGTGGCAGCTGCTCTTGGCTGGAGATGGGCTCACTCTTTATTGCTAGTGTGCACCTACAATAAAAAGTCTTTTTTTAAAAAAAGCTACTTGCTGGTGTTGTCTGTCTCTCTCATGGTCAGCCAATGAACAAGAGAGACTTCTTTTTGTTCTCAACTCAATCCTCAAGTAACTCATGGCTGAGCAAGCTGGTTTGATCTTCCAGATAGCCCCAAAATATGCCTTGCTATCTTTTCCATGGAGTATATATCCTTCCCAATTTAGGAACCTAAGAAGTTATAGTACACTGAGGCAGACCACTGGTCCAACTCTGAACCCAGTGCTGCTGACCAACAGATTAAAAGTGGCTTCAGGATTCCAGGCAGAAATTTTTCAAGATGCAAGGCAAGAGTCCTGTGACAGAACCTCAGCCCCTTCCTGTGCTGCTTGCATTGCATTAGCTGTTAGCAGAGGAGAAATACTATGTTGAAATAGAATAATGACAGGCCAGGTATAGCCCTCACCACTCACCCTCCCTTTCTCTGATCTTATACCTAACATATTTACTTGTGTTAAACACATGTTATAGTGACTAGATTGTTAAATAAACAAATAATGGGAATTACATTTTATTGTTTGTATTTTATTAATTGCAGCCAGAGTGGAATTGTCAATTTTTCTATTTTATCTTGATCTATGTTGTAAGCCATCCAGAGACGCAAGTAATGGACAGCACACATATTTTATAAATAAATAAATAAACAAACAAACACATCCTATTGAGCAGCTTGATGCATATATTCACACAACCACAGCAGTTTAAATTTTACTGTTTCTACATGATACAGAGGTGGTTTGGGGTGCAGGAGACAAGGCACAGAACCTGAAGTTCAGAGAAATCAAAACTGCAGGTTGGCCCTGACTGTTTAAAGTATCATTGATTTCCACTGGCTTAAGCTTGGCAAGTGCTGTGAGAAAACGGACCAGTAATTTGAAATGTCCTAAGTTTACTTAGTTCTAATTTCTGTACCTCACTAACAATATGAGGTACAGATAAGCAGCAGTAAAATGAATATAAGATTGGGATGTGGTGTGGAATTGATGTATTTATTTTAAAAGAACATGACAGTGAAATACAGGAAAAGAAATGTGCTAAAGAGATTTCACATTCACTAGGAAAAAGATGAGAAAAGAGATGGTGATGAATTAAGATGTGGCAAAGAAGAAATTTTAAGACAGAAGAAAGTTGAAGGATGTACACGTTTGATCCTTGTAGTTTAAAAGCTTACTGTCTTGTTCTACCTGACCTTGGTAATTTTTCTCCCAGTCCTAGGTTGTCATATCATGCATTCTTGATAGACTAACCAGCCATCCATTGTTCCTTTTTCCATCAATCAGAATAAAAAGCAGAATGTCCATGCTTACTTGGGCTTTTCCTTGTTTAGATTTTTCTCTTCCTTTGTGGTTGGAATTCAGTAAAGCTGCAACAATGCAAGCATGAGCTGTATGCCTTATTGCAACCAACACTAAAAGTTAAAGAGGGAAGGGGGAACAAAAGGGCATCTAACTATTGTAGTATAGTGGTTTCAAGGGATTAACTCCCAGTTAGTTCCAGTTTGTTAGTTCTGCATTAAACCCTAGAGCCGAAACTCTATCCCTTCTGACACCCCCTTTCAAGACAATTTTCTTTTAGCAAGACTCTGTTGACTGTATTCTAATCATCTTAGTGAGGATCCTCCATGGTGTACTACTTGAAGTTAATCTTAGGTGCAATGAAACTCATTAGGGTAAAGGAATGGTTCCTTTGGTGCCATGGGGCATCAAAGGCTCTGCAGTAATATTAACATTTGTAAGAATAACATTTGTAAGAATAATATTACCTTTTGTAAACATGTATTTTATGCATATTTTAAGAGGGGAAAGGAACTATAGACTGTGCAGTGTAATCTTGTCCATGTTTTCCCAGAGGTTTGATCCCTTGAGCTCAGTGGACTTCCACCCATGTAAACTGTGCATAGGATTGCAGCAACATGGTCACCTAGCAAATTCTAAGAGTTGTGTTTTGTTTTGTTTTGTTTTGTTTTTAGTCAGTGTTTCTCTACATTAGTCATTTATTGCACATTCATGATCTCTCAGTCACAGATGTTGTGGGACCTTTCACAACATGGTCATCCACCTTGCCTCTCCTGTGTTTTCTGGTAATTTTTGCAGGGCTTTTTGACAGCAATGGAATCAACTGTTAAGCTTCAGATCACAAATGTCTGGAACCAAAGCTTTATGAAAGGCTGCAAATCCACATAAGAACATTTTGTTTTAGCTTGGCAAGACTCTATTGATAGCATTTAATTATCTAAGTAAGGGACCTCCACAGTATCCTGCCTGAAACTAATGTTAGGAGGAATGATACTCATTAGGGCAAAGGGATTTCCCAGGTTCAATAGGGTATCAAAAGTTCTGCAATATAAAAACAAACAGGTAAGGTCACCACAAGTAACTAATTGAAGTCCCACTAGTGTCAACCACCTTACACTATATTACTATGTCTGGATCTAACCTAATGTCTTCCATTTAGCCTGCCAATCCCTTACACACTTACTTCTGAGAGTAAATGAACAGGGTCATGCTGCATGAAGTAGTAATAAAAGAGGAAGGTTCAGGATCCTTCTGCTCTCACCAATTCTGTTCCACAAATGTAATGCAGTGCTTATGCCACAGAGATGCAATACTGCCATGCTTCTGCTATGGTGCAATGATGCCACAGCACTGATACCATATCTACTGAAGTAATGGCTCTTGTACAAGTGGATCTTGGTGGTGATATACTCCAGATGTCTCTTAATACAGTTGTGAAAATAAACTCTCATCTACTTGATGATGGCAATGATACACAGCACCATATTATACACAGGAACAAAATAATGAGCAATGAGTGATTTGCATACTGAATCAATGTACACATTTGTAAAACATAAATCATTAAATAAGCTCTCCAGTATAAAATATTGTTTCCTTTAGGCAATGCAATGTTTTATTAGAGATTGTGTAGAAAAACTGCAACGCAGAGACAATTTGATATGCATATTTTTCTTTAAAAGGAAAAATGAACATCAATGCATTCTACTAATTGTCTTATTGAGAAAAAAAAGCTTGCAACTCAGAAATTGCATTTGCCATGGCCACAGATCATTACAAAGGCTTTCTAACTAAAAGGGTCTATTATGTTAAGGTAAGCTGTCATTGTGAGCCAAATGCAGAGTATTTCAGAGGTCAATAACAAAGAAACAACCCTTTTTAATTCACATGGGAGAGTAAATTGTAGACATTTTCCCAAGAATCCAGGGGCTTTTGGAAAGTGAAACATGCATCTCTTTCTGTTGGACTTGAGAAGACTGGAAATACTCAATGGTTTGTCCCAGTCAAAATTTGCCCATTTCCCACTCATAACCCTGCTTTTTACATAGACACCAAGGTTTGATCCCTACCCATCAAACTCTGTTCCCCTTAATAAAATTGGGGAAAATATACTTTTTATCCTTCCCTGTGTCCATACAGGTTTGGAACAAAGTCCAATATTTGGTCCCCCATGAAAACTAAAGAATGAAATGAGAGAAAGCAGGGAGGGAGGGAGGGAGGGAGAAGGCTTGCTGAAGGAGGTGTGTAAATCCTTCTTACACAAAAGATCCTTCACATTCTGTAAACTGTCAGTGAAGGGAAGGGAAGGGAAGGGAAGGGAAGGGAAGGGAAGGGAAGGGAAGGGAGGATTCCAATGCTCTTCTGGCCAATGATGAATGAGGATACCTGTTGTCCCTTGACAGCCACCATCTCCGATTGCATTGCTCCAGCTAAGGCTTCAAATCCACACCATTATGCTAGAGTGAACACAGGGCTGTAACCATGATTAACCACTTCTTGCAGGAATGATGTAAATGAGTGTGGGACAACAATGGGAATGCTTTCCTGGGGGACACTGGGGGACTCTGAATGTGCTATTGATCACGATCCACGTGGAGATCAGAAAACCTGACTTTACAGATGGTTTTCTCAATTTCTGACTGGAGAAGGAGTGTGAGCACAAAAGTCCTTGTAGAACAGAGGGAGGAAGCCTATGCCAGCTGATCCAAGAGCCACCTGCACACTCAGATACAGCTGGCACTGACATCTGTCTGGTATCACCTGCTGAGAATGATGAGGTTCCTCTGGTTATTGGAATTGCAAACCTATTCTGATTTCCCATGATGTAATCAATAATCCAGGCTCAGAAGACATGCAAACCTGTCATGGGCACAGAAAACCTTAGAAAAGCTATGAATGGAGGTAGAGTGTTGTTCACCAGGCATAAGTCACCTTGGGGAAATGGGTGTGGATTCACATAACACAACAAGACATCATGGCTGGAAACTCACAATGGCTTGTCATGTTACATGAACCCAGTCATTGTTTTGTTCACTTTTAATGGCATTGCTTTTAGAAGCATGAGTGGAAACTTTGCATGTCTTATGTTATCTTAACCAATAGCAGGGGGTGGGGGTTACTATAACGTTGTAATATTGGCTGGACATTTCCAGTAAAACAGCTTCCATAAGGCAGCTTTGATATCCTTATTCCTCATGCTATAGATTATTGGGTTCATCATTGGAGGTAAAACAGAATATATTACAGCAAGCACCTCATCCAAATTAAATGAAGAGCTGGATTTGGGTAAGACATAGGAAAATATACCAGTACCAAGTAATAAAGAGACAACAACGAGATGTGGGATGCAAGTAGAAAAGGCCTTTTGCCTGTTTGCCACAGACGGCATTCTTGACACAGTGCTAAAGATCTGTACATAGGACATTACAATGAACACAAAACAGACAAGACCTAATGCAGAACTAAAGAGGAGAGCCCACATTTCACTGAAGTATGGGTCAGAGCAGGAGATATTGATGAGGTGTGGAATTTCACAGAAGAACTGATGGATCTTGTTGGAGCAGAAGGGCAGGGAGAAAATGGTACCTGTGTGCAGAACAGCATTGAAAAAACCGGCTACCCATGCCCCACCTGCCAACTGGATGCAGCTGCTCCACCTCATCAGAGATGCATAGTACAGTGGCTGGCAGATGGCAACATATCTGTCATAAGCCATAGCAGTGAGGAAGAAAATGTCTGAGGACATAAAGAAGAGAAAGAAAAGCATTTGTGCAGCACATTCAGAATGTGAAATTTTTGTGGTGTTCCTGAGGGCATTGGCTACTGATTTGGGAATGGTGACAGAGGTGGAGCCAAGGTCAACAATTGACAAGTTGACAAGGAAGAAATACATTGGGGTCTGCAGGTGGGTGTTCAAAGCTACCAGAAGGATGATGAGAAGGTTCCCCATAAGCACAGCTAGATACATTGCTGAGAAGAAAATAACATGTAAAATCCGAAATTCTTCATCCTCTGAAAACCCCAGAAGCTGGAAATCCCTGGTGATGGTTACATTAGGCATGGCTTCATTGGCATAGTGACTGTTGGCGGAAGAAGAAAGGTCATCATATATTCCTTGCTTGTGTTAGAGTGCCATCAGTCACATAACTTTAAACTCCTCTATTTTAGTTTATCTGTAGTCTTCTTTTAATCCAGGAGGATGCCTATCAAGTTACAATATTCCATTCATCAAGAAGATCATCATGAAAATGTGACAGAGTACAGCACAATATGATAATTGTTCATCCAATGAAATACTGAAGAATACATATACTGTTTATCAGGGGTTTCTACCATATTGCCCGTACTCACCTACATGTATCCCAAGGAGATAATGGATTATTTAAGCATGAAAAGCTTGACTGGTAGAAGTGGACATTTTTGCCATGCCTCAATAAATTATGGGGCACATGTGCCTGCCAACTGAACAACCCATTCAGAGCTGTAGAGGAAATATGGTATTTGGATGAAAGCTCTCCTGTTTAGATAGTTTAGACATGAAATCTTCGACAAAAAGAAATATTTAGGTGATATAATTTTCTATTTACCTATTAAGTTCTATGGATCTTTGACCATGTTCTATTTTCTAATAGCAAGAAATATTTGATGTAATTTAATATGCTATATTTTGATGCCAAGTCATATAAAGCATAATCTTAATAAAAATTGAATCTGAAGCTTTCCCCTTCTTAATTGGTTTGAACCCGACAAAACAAAATGTCTGTGTTAGTTTCAGGTGTGTTTATCAATCTTATATAGTAAACTGATAACTGAAATGTCCCTTGATATTGAAAAAATGGACAAGTCTTAGCAAAATTTTGTACCAACCTTCCCTCCCAATATCTACTCTCTGTCACTCAGTCTCTAACAGTGATTTAGCTGAAAGCTAGGAATGCAGGTGGGGTGGGTGGTGGGAGGGGGGTTCTGTCCACAGGCAGTGACCCAGTTCACCCCGTTAAAATTAGCTTGCTTAAGTCAGCAGCATGTGCTGGTGCATTCCAGGCACCATTATCCTCATTACCTGCCTGAGTGCTGCTTGTCATCTCATCTGAATGTGGGCAACATGGATTGTTTGAGGGGCAAACAACCCTCAAGTAACCCATGGCCCATCTAGCCTGTCTGACCATTTTAATATCATCTGTATATACCTTACTGTCTTTTCCATGGACTATATATGCTTCCTGATTTAGGAACCTAAGGAGTTAAAGTGCACTGAGGCAAACCATTGGGCCATCTACTAATTCAGTACTGTGATGAAGCACTCTGTAAATAGAATGATACTAATACTATCAGTAATATACTCTTAACAGATCTGCTGCTATTTAGCAGCAACAAATGGAATATAGGATTTGAAATGTGGTTTAGAATACACACACACACACATGAATACAGCAGTGAATTAGAGGTGGAAGAAATATGATAAAGAGATTTCACATGCATTACCAAAAAAATCAGAAACAGAGATGGAGATGATTTAAAATGTAGCAAAAAAGAAATAATAAGACGGAAGACAGTTAAAGGATGAACAGGTTTGACAATTGTATTTTAAAGGCTTACTGTCTCCTCCACCTGCCCTTGGAAATTTTCCTCAAGTTCTAGTTTGGCATATCATGCATTCTTGATGGACTAACCAGCCATTCATTCTTCCATTTTCCATCTATCAGAATAACCAACATAAAACCCATGCTTATTCCATTGGCTTGTAGGGGTCTTGTTTTTAGTTTCCTCTCCCTTTGTGGTTGGAATTAGGCAACCTGTAATGCTGCAGGCATAAGATATTGCCTTATTTCAAGCAGCAATAAAATTACTTGTGGGGGGGGTGGGGGGAGAAGGAGCAAAGAGATATTTAGTTAGCATAATGGTTTCTAGGGATTAACTTTCTGAATGTTCTAGTTAGCTCTGCAACAAAGCCCCAGAGCCCAAAGTGATTCTGCTGCTGTTGTTGCTTTGATCACATCACAATATGTGACCACAAACATCATACTTAAAAGAACAGATTGTATTACATTTCATTAGAATAAATTACTAAATCAGACCAATAGCTAATATGATTTAGGAGTCATGGTGAAAACTAGAAACCTGTTGAATTCAGGAGCAATATATAGTGGTGGTACCCATAGGCTTGGGAATTCCTACTTGTGTAAGTGGTATATCAAGTAACTTCAGAAAATGCCTAAAGAAGACTAAAGAGTCCTAATGATAGTGGAATCCAATTTCACCTACTATGGGTCTCTAGACAGTTACAGCATTGCCTTGTCCATACAGCAAAACCTGGGTCTTCCTCCTTTCATGAATCCTATTTACTTTGTGCAGACCAGAACACACATTATAAAACACTGTGCTAGATCTAGGGCAACACTTTTACTGAGATATTTGCTTTTTCTTTTAGCTGACTGAAAGTACAGAAAGTTAAAGCAAAAAATAGGGCTTCAACATTTAGCCTATTAATAAGGTAGATGAATGAATTAAAAATAATTGTATCAATTAGAACTTTTGTTAGGATTAAATCAGCATCAATATTTTTAATGTTTTGACCTTCCTAATTGTAGTTGGGTTGTTATAGTAAGACCAGCAAAGGATCTTGTTGCACTTCAGAGTCAAACCTTTAAAACCATACTATGTTAGTCATGACTGAATTGAGTCCATAGTTCTCATTTGGAACTAAGAAGGAATTTTCTCCTGGGTGTATCATGGTATCACATGGACTTAAGTCTGATTCATGATATAAATATGACAAAATTTGAAACTTAGGCATTCGTTAGTATTTAAGGTACCATTAGACTCTGTTAATTGTCTAAGTTCATCTACACACATATACACATAAAGATATACGGTGCAGATAGCAAGCATCATATTTCACAAAACACAGATTCCTTGGGAGACAAGAGGGGGCCTACAGGACGCCATCTTGCAGGGTCAGACCATTGTTCTATCTAGCCCAATATTCTCAAGACTTCTGGGCAGTGGATCCACAGGGTTTCAGGCAGGATTCCTTCCTAGTCCTACTGGGAGAGGCCAGGATTGGACCAGGAACCTTCTAAGTGAAAAGCATCTGCTCTGTCACTCAGCTGACATCCCTCCCAAGAAGATTGCCTCTTCTAGGTCGTCAGGAAACCCTGGCTTCAGCCCAACCTAATTACATCACATTTAGTCTCACTGAAAACAACAGAAAAGTTTAATCAGGATCAACATTTTGCATAGATTTTACATGGACTTCTCAGTCCTTATTATTATTATTATTATTATTATTATTATTATTATAACATTTCTATGCCGCCCCTTGCCGAAGCCTCGGGGCGGCTTACAACACAATAAGATACATTGAAATACAATAGAACATAATAAATAATATAAAATTAAAATTAACAGTATAAAATAAGTAAATCAAGTCTAAAATAAGTATGTTTTTCCTATACAACTGCTCTCATATGCAAATGATAGATATTATTTATTAACTAAAGTTACCTGACATCCAGTGTAACCCTATACATTTATGCATGTCTACTCAGAAGTAAGCCCTTCTGATTTCTAGAAATCAGTACAGTTAGAAAATATACATAACACTCTAGCCCAAGATGGCTCTCCTCAACAATCAAGAACTGGTTAGTTCACTTGTGAATGTCTGAACTGAAGTCATGGACACTGTATACTCCAGTTATATACTCCAGATGCTTCTATATTGTAGTTGTGGAAATAAATTATCATCTTGTTCATGGTGTCAATGAAGCCTACACAAGACTGTGTTCTGACAGGAATGAAGTACTCAGGAATAGTTGAGTGATAGACACTCACTCAATGTATGTATTTGAAACACACACTCACACACATACACACACATAGTAGAAAATTATCTCTGACCAAAAGTGTTTTTATACTTTAGCCAATGCAATTTAATATTAGTAATTACATAGAAAGACTACAGCAATGCAAAGAACATTTTCATGTGCATTGTTTTCTGTAAAGACAAAAGTGACAGTGCACTGTACAAGGTATATTACTGAAAAGGGGAAACAACTGAGAGCATTCATATTATTTTGAATAATATTGTTCCAAAGCAACAAAAATTAGCATCAGGGTATGAGTTGGTATGAAACATTGTATACTTGGCTGGAAGAGTCCCATAAAACATCTTCCACGGGTCAGCTTTGACATCCTTATGCTGTAGATTTTTGGCTTCATCACTAGAAGCAACACAGAAAAAAAATTGTAGCTAGTATCTGATCGAAATGATATGATGAATTGGAGGTTGGCATGAGTTAAGTAAACAGCAGCAACAACAAATCAGTATTAAGTACTATTGAGAAGACAGAGAAATGTGGAATGCAAATAAAATAGGAGAAATGAGAAACCACAACAAAACAACCATGGTAGATAACTAGCCATGATGGGTTGTACTGTTGCCCAAACTCAGTCTACTTCCCACAAATTAGTACTTTTTGCCAGGCAGTCACCCTGACGACCCATGGCTTGTTTTATGGGTTCTTCAACCCATGATAAGTTATTGCTACTGCAAGTGAACCATTTTGTTTTCCACTTACTTCTTCATCAGCGTATTTACATATATTTCTGCTTTTTTGCCTCCACAAGATTACATTACTAAGAAGGCAATATTGTCTGTTACCCTTTTTGGTGCACCTGCTTTTAGAACTCTTTCCCCTTTACTGGTGCTTTTTTCATTGACAGCTAGACAATTTGTCTCGGGCAACAAATTTGTAGTCACTTTTAATCAATGTATTATGTATTCAATTTTATGGCTTTTCTTGACAGTTAAAACAGACAAAAAAGTTGACGAGGCAAGACAACACATCTTACAGTGGTAAGATTGCACTTGCAAAAGACTGACAAAAAATAAAATCAGTAACAAAATTCATAAGTTTTCTGTACCTGAAAAATATGACTTTCACCTGTTGATTTTTGAGGCTCTGATTTTAAAAAGATGGTAGTGTGTGTAAAAGGGTAGCCATTGGAGCGTGGAGGGGAGACAGGGTGGGTTCTGCCATGAAGGCCACTGGTATTCCAGCTGGAGTACAGAGGGGAACAGGAGAACAAACCATAGTGAGCCCAGTCACCTCTCGGGCATACTGTGGGTTGTTTAGCAACCAACCAACCAACCAACCAACCACAGCTTGTTCACAAGGTGATTTAGCATGATGTGGGAACTCATCCAATGTATGAAATTAGTATCAAACTTTTAAAAATCATGTTCAACATACAATCCCTACCACATTTTATTCAATACAATATATGCACTGTAAAATACACTTCTACATGTCTATAATGATAACTGGAAAGCTAAGATAAATCCATTCTAACTCGTAGCTTAGTAGAGAAGACAGAAACTGAGAGATTGTATTGATACTATTATTAATTAAATTGTTCCATAATAAAATAAGGAGGCAAGCATAAGTCACTGGAGGCAACACAGTATACAATGCAGCAAGTATCTGGTCTAGATTGCAGAAGGAGTAGGAGGAAGGCATAAAATATGTAAAGAGAACAGTACCTAATAATAGAGAGACAACAGTGAGGTGGGGAATGCATGTAGAAAAGGCCTTTTGCCTGTTTGCCATAGAAGGTATTCTCAGCACTGTGCTAAAGAACTGGACATAGGATATGATGATAAGGACAAAGCAGACAAGACCAAATATTGAACTAAAGAGAAGAGCCCAAATTTCACTGAGGTATGAATCAGAGCAGGTGATCTTGATTAGATGTGGGATTTCACAGAAAAACTGATTTATGACATTGGAGCAGAAGGGCAGGGAGAAAATGGTACCCATGTGCAGCATTGAGCAAACCAGCCACCCATGCTCCACCTGCCATCTGGATGCAGCTGCCCCAGTTCATCAGAGATGCATAGTGCAGTGGCTGGCAGAAGGCAACATATCTGTCATAGGCCATGACAGTGAGAAGGAACAAATCTGATGACAGGAAGAAAACAAAGAAAAACATTTGTGCAACACACTCAGAATAGGAAATCCATGTTGTATTCATGAGAGCATTGACCACTGACCTGGGAATAATGACAGAGGTGGAACCAAGATCAACAATTGACAAGTGGATAAGGAAGAAATACATTGGGGACTGAAGCTGGGTGTTCAGAGCTACTAGAATCATGATGAGAAGATTTCCCACAATTATGGCCAGGTACATTGCCAAGAAGATCACAAACTGCAAAATCTGAAACTCTTGTTGCTCAGAAAATCCCAGAAGCAGAAAATCCATGATGATGGTCACATTAGACATCACTTCATGAAGGCAGGACTGGGGCCTAGTTGTACTTTTTCTGCCTGTTGTATTGAAGACATAATGCGAGTTATTAAAAATCATTATGTTGTTCTATAGGAAAGGTATCATTTCTGTTTCTAGATTTCATATTATATTGCCAAAACATGTACTGCTATTTCAAAAAGATAATTCTTGGTTCCTAAGTTAACAGGTCAGTCAATTTTAGTCTTTAAAACAAGATCAGTCCAGCTGAATGAGCCTCAAACTTCTCTTCTGACTGTTCTAATGAATGGGTGAAAGACTGAAGTAGAATTATAAAACAGTAATGTTGGTTCTTATGATTATTTTATTATTATCTTAATTAAAAAGAATATAAGAATAAAAATGAAATAATATTAATATTAATAATAACCTTAATATTTCTGCAAAAGAATGTATGGTTCTTTACCCTTTTGAAAGAACCAATTTTTATTTTTATGTTTTGCCTCTTGGGCAGGAGCAGTTGGAACCTGTGATGTCCTCTTCCATGTTTACTAATTAATTTGGTCCACTTCCAAACTATTACTTCATTTATCAACTAGACAACATAGGTGTATTACCAGTAACTATTGACTGTTATGTCCATACTAATCACAGTTAGCATAGTGCTTTTATATATTCACACTATTTCACATAACTTATCTTGCGACAATCAATGCAATAATCTTGTTAGGAATCACTGTTATTGTAGCAGAGGTGCTGAGAATTGTCAGTTTACTAAGTCCATGGCCCCCTTCATGGAGCACTGGCTTGCTGTGGCAAAGAGACTTGTGCAGCGCAATGAAGCTATGAGCTATGCTGCGCAGGGAGAGCTATGCCATCCACTGGAGAAGGAAATGGCAACCTACTCCAGTATCCTTGCCATGAAAACCCCATGGACAGAATATAAAGATAAAAGATATGACATCAGAAGATGAACCCCTCAGGTTGGAAGCTATCCAGAATGCTACTGGGGAAGAGCAGAGGGTTAGTACGAGTAATGCCTGAAAGAATGAAGTGACACAGTCAAAGCTGAAAGGACACTCAGTTGTGGATGTATCTGGTGGTGAAAAGAAAGTCTGATGCTGTAAAGAACAATACTGCATAGAACCTAGAATGTAAGATTTATGAATCAAGGCAAGCTGGATGTGGTCAGACATGAGAACAGAAGACGGAACATCGACATCTTGGGAAGCAGTGAACTAAAATGGACAGGAATGGGTGAATTTAATTCAGACGACTACCATATATATTACTGTGGGCAAGAATCCCACAGAAAAAATAGAGTAGCCAATAAAAGAGTAGGAAAAGCATTGCTGGGATACAATTTCCAAAATGACAGAATGATCTCCATTTGAATCCAAGGCAAACCATTCAACATCACAGTAGTTATTATTATTATTATTATCATCATCATCATCATCATCATCATCATCATCATCATTATTATTACTATTAGAACATTTCTATGCCGCCCCTTGCCGAAGCCTCGGGGCGGCTTACAACACAATAAAATACAATAAAATACAAAAATAACAATATAAAATTAAAATTAAACAATATAAAATAAATAAAAAATATAAAAGATATAAAAGAAGTTATAAAAGTTCAAGTTCAAGAAGTTATATAGTTCAAGTCTATGTGCCAACCACCAATGCCAAAGAGGTTGAAGTTGACCAGTTCTGTGCAGACCTACAACACCTGCTAGAACTTACACCAAAAATGATGTCCTTATCAGCATGGGGGATTGGAATGCTAAAGTGGGAAGTCAAAAGATAACTGAAATAACACACAAGTATGGCTTCGAAGTACAAAATGAAGCAGGGCAAAGGCTGGCAGAATTTTGTCAAGAGAAAATGTTGGTCATAGCAAACACTCTCTGCCAACAACCCAAGAGAAATGACTCTATGCATGGACCTCATCAGATGGTCAACACCGAAATCAGATTGATCATGTGCTCTGCAGTCAAAGATGGAGAAGAACTTGAGCTGAAAGCCAAAACACACAGAGATGCACCAAAACTTCAGCACTTCTTGCTCTCTCCAGAAAAACACATCAGTAGCACCCTAGATTTTTTTTTTTAAATCACTTCATGGGGAAATATGTACTCAGTAATGCTAACACTGAAAAATCTCTTGAAAAGAGGGGACCAAATATAGTCAATTCTTTTAGTCTGCCATTATAACACATGTCCTTCCTCTTGTTAGCTTCTGGTCTTGGCTCAGAGACATGGGATGAGAAAGTACAGTTCAGTCTACATGCATACATACGAAAACAGAGGACTTTGCATTCATGTGATTTGAAGTAATTAATCTTGGATTCATCAACATCAAAATACAAAAGTGCCTGTTCATGTGGTGTCTAGAGTACATATCGAAGAATTGGCCACCATATCATGGCCCTGGACATGTAGGAGAAGGAGAAGGAGGAGAGCAGCAGCTATGCTCAGACACACTGAATTCAATGAAACTCAGTTGATGTCAAGATCCCCATCAATGGCAGAAGAATGTATATCCCCCTACCACACATAAACACACAGGTACACATATCAGATCCTAGCATTAATATGAGGTATTCCAATAGTTTCCTAACATGCTGTGAACTAGTTCCATTCTTAGTTGAGCTTTAACTGAAATCAATGGGACACGTTTAATGGGATGATTTAAATTAGTCTTGTCTGAGTCAATTTTCACTTCTTGCAGTGGGTCTATTCTAAGTATAACTAAATCTGAGTCCATGCTAGTGGTCTTAGATTAATGAATTTATACATTGCTGAATGCCATCAACACTTACAGGGACTTCACTAGTTTATTCAAATTCTGCTGCTTGACAAATGACTTAGTAACACCTGAGTCTTACTGAATGTAAATCCTATATTAAGCTTCATTAATTTCAGTGGAACTTAAATACAATAGATTTTAGCTAGATGAGGGCGCCTACTTACAACATAATGGGACATGCTGTAGCTAACCTGTATGAATACAATTTGTGTACACTTCTCCGCAACTAGTAATATGACTCTAGGCAAGAAGTAGCACCAGATGAATTTTTAAGGATTATTTAATATCTTCATTAATTAATGCAACTTTTTAAAGAGTAAATAATGGGGAAATGAATAGGAATGCAAAAAGCAAGGATAAAGGGAAGGAAAAGCAGACAAGCTAAATATTGTAGCTGAACAGAGAGACTGACAAGAGTACAAAAAGCAGTAGGGAAAAAATAAAGAGGTGCCTCCCAAAGAAGAGGAGAAAAAGAAATTTATGAATCTGCACTCAGGGATACAGAGTTGATGGTTATAGATGAATAAATACCTTAGTATTACTTTCCTTTTTTCCTTAGATATCTTTCCACTGAAGGTGAAAATGCTTCTCTGTGACTTTCATGTTTCCTCATCCATCTCTTTTTTCCTATTACTCGGGATAGCAAATAAGATGATTAAGAATGTATATCATGTTTCTTGCTTACCACCCTCAGCATGCCTCTGTTTCTTTTGCCAAAGATTGGCAGTCAAAGCAGAATGCCTGTCTGCCTGGCTGGCTGATTTCAAGCAGCACTAGAAGTACTTGGGAGTGGTGGCAGAAGGGAATGCCTGGTTGTCCAGGGATGTCCAGAGATTTATTCCTTGAAGTCCAATGTAGCATCTCAGTTGCAAGGACCTAGAGGCACAGGAACAGGGCAGGGGATGGGAGAGGCTTTCATCTGAAGAGACTTTTGGATCTTGCAATACTGCAATCCATTGCATATGCCATAATTGTTTATTCGTGCAAACAAGTGAGAAAAGAGGAAGGTGAACTTTCCTGCCACAGGATGACAAACATAGTGCATAGGAGGAGCACATGTTTTGTTTCAGCCATGTGGTTCTTTGAGTTAGGTGTTACTCAAATGGCATGGAAATAAGCCAGGGAGTGACTCCCATACTGAGATGGTACCATATAGGGCTTGAGAGCAGCACCCCTTCTTCCTCCTGCTGTTTCAATGTCCAAAGCTAAGTCCATAAACCTCAGACCAACTTGCAGAAAGTGAGCTAGATAATGCAACCATTAGATGTATCCACAATTGGCTGTAAATTCAAACTCAAGGAGTGTTCATCAATGGCACATTCTTAAACTGGAGAGAAGGGATGAGTCAGGTGTTGCAGAGTTCTGTCCTAGGACTGGTGCTCTTCAAAATTTTTATTAATGGTTTAGATGAGGAAGTACAAGGAAAGATAATTAAATCTGCAGATGGCACAAAGCTGGGTGGAATAACAAATACCCTGGAAAACAGAGGTAAGATATAGGGTGAATGAAATTTGGAAGGGACAAATGCCAAGCCCTCCACTTAGGAAAAAGAATCTAGATGCATTACTGAAAGATGGGAATACTTGGCTCAACAATACTGCCAATGAGAAAAATCTTGGGGTTGTTGTAGATCAAATATGAGCCAACAATGAGCTGCAAATGGGAAAACACTATCTGGGGTTGCATTAACAGAAGTAATACTTCCAAAACACTTGAAGTACTAGTTCTCCTATACTCAGCACTAGTCAGACCTCACCTGGAATATTTTGTCTAGTTCTCGGCACCTAAATTTTAAGAAGAGGCTGAAAATCTAGAAAGGGTATGGGGGGGTGGGCGAGGATGATTCAGGGACTGGAGGCAAATCTCTGTGAGGAATGATTCAGAGAACTAGGCATGTTCAGCCTCAAGAAGAGAAGATTGAGGGGTGCTATGATAGCACTATACAAGTACCTCAAAGGCTGTTGCAATGAGGAAGGATGAGATCTATTCTCATTCTTTCCAGAGTGCAGGACATGGAATAAGTAAAAAGAAACCAGATTTAGACTAGACACCAGAAAGAAATTCTTCACTGCCAAAGCAATATGAGAATGAAACATACTACGTGGGGAAGTTGTAGGCTTACCTTCACTACAGACATTCAGAAAACATCTGCAGAGTCATCTAAATGGAATAGTGTAACTTAGTGTCCTGCAATAGCAGGGGGTTGGTCCAGATAGCCTTCTGGACACTTCCAAGAGAAACATGTAGGCTCAGCACTGGATGCCTAAACTGGAATGGCAAGCAAAAGCACTGCTTACTTGCACTTCCTCTTCCCAAATTCTTCGTACAACTTAAGAATGAAAGAAAGAAAGAAAGAAAGAAAGAATATATATATATATGAGAAACATTCTTAAGTTGTACAAAGAATTCATTCATTCATTCATTCATAGGATGATTGTTGTTGTGTGCCATTAAGTCATTTCCAACTTACAGTGACTTTATGAATGAAAGTCCTCCAAAATGTCCTATCCATGGCAGCCCTGCTTAGCTCTTCTAAATTCAAGGCTGTGGCTTCCTTTATCCATCCATATCAATCCATCTCATGTTTGCACTTCTTTTTCTTCTTCTGCCTTCAACTTTCCCTAGCATGATTGTCTTCTCCAGTGAATCCTGCTTACTCATGATGTATCTAAAGTATGACAGTCTCGGTTTTGTCATTTTTACTTCCAGGGAAGGTTTGGGCTTGATTTGTTCCAGGACTATAAGACCAAGATTTGGGTATAACTTAGTCACTAGGTGGCATTGAACCAAATTTTATCTGGGTACCTAACTGGAAATTTCCTGTTGCTGTTCTATTAAGCAGGGGCAATAAAGGGTCATGCTTCCTGCTTGCTTTGTTCCTTAAACCTCAACAAGTACTTGTTCCTAATTTCAAGCCGGGAAGAATTTCCTGCATGGCATAGAGTCTGAGCAGGGCTTTCTTTCCCATGGTTCAAGAGTAAAATCAGAGTGACAGGAGAAAGATGGCTGCCTCTGGAAATGCACTTTAGAAAAACCTTTTGTGTTGGTAGAGCCAGAGGAGATAAAATGATGAGTACACTATAAGGCCCCTTGAAAAAGCACCCTTAGTACCTTTGTATCTAGGTAAGGACCAACCATTTTTTAATCAGAATCACACAAATAAAACAATGGCATAAAAATGAAATAGATGTTAGCCTGGGTGGCTTGTCTGTAACACAGAAATGTCATAAATGAATGATGATTATTGAAATATTAACAAAAATAACACACACATTATCAGCTCTTGAATTTGTTCATTCATTAAACTAATATTCTGCTATTAATTAGTCTGAGGACTCTCTAATTCTTTGTCTTGCTGATTTCCTACAAAGTTATCTTCACCCTGTGGGAGAAGATGACTCTGTACTTATTAAAAAGTTACAAATTGAATTAATCCCATAGGGAACCAAACCTAAGCACTTTCCAATCTGCTGTTTATTTTTTTAAACACATTCTCTGATTGAAAAAGTGCTGTAAAATCAACTTACTTCAAGAGAATCAATCAATATTGTACATGCCTACATCTTGATTATCTATTTATTTATTTGTTTGTTAAATTTATAATTCCAACCTTTAGTTTCCTCAGTGGCTCTCAATAAAACATAAAGGTTATTCTTCAGCCCCAATTATGCACTAACTGAGAAAAATCATTATTACCTCAATCCAAAGAATTTCATACTGAATTACATACTGAATTGATTAAGACCAAGGCTAATTCTCTATCCATAAATAGAGTACATACTTTAGGAAATTGGGAGTACCATACAGAATCTTTGAGATTCAGGCATGCATAGTTTCAGAACCATGGAAGACATACAAACAGATGTATTTCACATCAGAGTATTAGTTGTTCTCAGGTGTCTTCAGCAAACTGCAACAGGCTAGGAAATGCATGATGCAAATAACAAAAGAATACTTTCTGCTAGATACCAGAGTCTGCATATGCCCTATGAAAAGCATCTAGCCTTGAACAGTTTAGAATTTTGAAAGTTTTCTGCCTGACAGACTAGAGAAAGGAAAAGTGGCCAGCTCTCCCCAGTTGTAGCTGAGTGACAGGGGACAGGGGACAAGGACTTGGTAAGATAATTTTGCAGGATGCCCTTAGACTGTGGCTTCTTTTTCCTTCTTACTGTTTTCAAAGCAGGACACTGGATTTCCTCTACTGAAATTACTGACATTGGAGAGCCTTTAAAACAGTCAATGGTGAAAACTTGGCTTCAGGTCAGTGTCTCCTTGACGGAAAGAAATTGAATAGGGATCTTATATGGAATTAAAAGCAGATGGAATAGTGTTGATGAAGATGGTTTTAAAGCAAAATACCTACAGCAAAATCCTTTTTTTTCACATCTGCACAAGATGACCCATCAAGACAAAATGAAAGCATGAATGACATTTAGCTATGAAAATGGTGTTTTGAAGGATTCATTCACCCTTCACAATAATATGCTCTTCTTCTTGCCACTCCCCATTTAGTTTCCAACAGTGTGCACATTTTGCAGATTGTTCAGAGACTCTAAGTCCTGAAGAAAGTGCAGAAGTGCCTCTCACCCCTTTTTGACAAATTTAACAACTCGCTTTGGGTACATTTAATAAGGTTATCTGTGTTAAATTCTGGACTGGGATTCTGGACTGGATCTACACAGACATTTGAATGACTGCTTTTCACACTTGCTCTCCCCAAAGAAAGTCCTGACAAGCCCCAAATTGTCCATGGAGAAAGGGGAAGAAAATATTTCATTTCTCCCATGGTGTTGCCTAGGATACCTGCATCAGGACTAAGAAGGGAAAAGGGGGAAAGAGGCAGAGAATGACCCAAGGAGAGCTCAGCCATCTGTTCTACTTACCATGGATTGTTTGCATTACTAGAAACATAGAAACAGAGTGAATCAGAAGGGATTTCCCGGCCCATCTAGTCTGACCCGCAGCTCCAGCCAGCTCTGCTCATGACATGCCCACCATGTGCATGTCTAGCCTATCCTTTACTACTGCGGCTTGCAGTCTGGGTGGGTTAGTGTGACATGTGAACAGGCCCGTGCAGTCTGCAAAGGATTGTGTAAACAGAAATGTGTGCCTGCCTTGCCCCTGCCTGTGTATTAATGCCTTCAACTGGGGAGGAATAGTCACCACTCCTTAAGCCCACCAACTCCAGAATAGGGTAATATTTCTTAATTTGGTAGATTCCACTGCTAATGAACTTTTCATTGTTGTTTGTGGAAGATAAACAAAAACAGAGAAGGAAAAGCCTCTCAACAACTTTTTCTGCTGCATTACTGCTGCACTCCAGGGAGCAAGTCTCTGAGCTGCCAGGGCAGACATGAATAAAAAGTCTGCTTGGTGAACAAAATGCTTGAAGTCCAATATGGGTGGCAAGAAAATGCATACACGGAGCTAAGGTTCAAAGGGCAAATAAAAATATTTCAAGGTAAAGTCAAATGTTCATGCCTAATAACCTAAAACCATGAAGGAGGAGGAATGAACCTACTATTCAGCAATGTTTATGAGGAACAGTAAGTAAAAGCTGTCTCAATTTTGTTTCCCCTGCTCTCATGTCTCCTCTCCAGTCTCCAATCTGTTTGCTTTCTCCTCTCTCTTTCATCCCATTCTTCTTCCCTTCTCATCCCAGTGCCGTTTTTATCTCCCTTCATTCTCTGAGGTGCCAAGATCAGCCCCAGTCTATAACCAGTGGAAGGGGAGGGGGAATTCTCTCTAGCCAGATCTCCACATTACAATACTGGTCCATTTCTTGTCGTCTCTCCTCTTTCCTCAATGGCCAGGTAGTGAGTTGCACCCCCTTTTTTCAATCAGTACAACTCCTCTCTTATTCTAAATCAGGTTTAATACTTGAGCATTCTGCTCTGATCATGGGGTACTTCACCATGGATCAAGTTATTACCATGGACAGTAATGGAGGTTTTAAGCAATGAGCAGTACATTAATTTGATCTGCACAATATGCTTTCTCCAAGTGTGGAGGACTTTTCCATAGCTATAATGTTATTCTGCTGTGTGGCATTTCCATGATAGTAATCATGAAGTTACTCTGTGCAGGTAGTGGTGAAGGTGACATCAACAGAATTTCCATCAACTGCTTGGACAGCAAGAGAATACCTAGTGAGGCGAATATCTGGCCAGAAGTATTTTATTTTTTGCTCTCACCAAATGGCTTTCCATGCTTAGCCATATCCTAAAAAGCTACCAAGCAGAGATTAAGATTGTAGATGCTTGGGATCACTAGGAGACCACTTGTTAGTGTTGAATAATTATCATCCTAAGTATGCAAAGCTTGCAAGACTTGTGTGCAGAAGCTTGCTTGTACAATGAGCACATGGATGACAGGCAGCATGTGAGCAAGTCACCCTCCCTAGTTATACCTGTGCTTCTGTAATATAATACACAAGAGTTGGACCCACTTCCCAATGGATGCAGATGTAAATGCATGATACAAGTCCAGTTTAGAACACAGCTAAAGGTGATTGGAATCTGGGGAGAAAAGCTGAGAAAACCCCACTCCCAAAGCAGACTCCTCATATAGTGCTAAATAGGACCAATTGCAGCTAACATGGGTTGGGCTCAAGTAGCCATTCAGATCATATTCCCTGCTTCACCAGTGCTATTTTTATTAACTAAGGACATCCAAGGGTGAGCAAACTAGAGTGCTGTGTTATATCTACCAGATTATCCAGAATATATGTAGTCATGTGGAAAGAGAAGAATTCTCTCAAAGTTAAAGTAACACCTTTAACACATCCTTAACCAAATGCTCCCCTTGGTTTAAGCTTCAGATTTAACCAAATGCTTCCAAAGTTGATTGACATGATGAAACTAACTTTCAGGAGGCAGAAGAATGATCACAATCCACTCCAGAGGATTCAAAACTCCTGATGGATTCTTTCTGCTCCTAATCTCATTTGTGACGTTGGAAGAAACTGATCGCCTAAAAGCCCTTAGATAAGGTCTGGGCAATGTGTGGCCCTCCAACTCCTGATGGACTAAAACAGCCTCCATTGTTGTTCATCATTGGCCAGGCTAGCTGGGCTAAGCAGCCCGGAGAGGCAGTCATGGTTGGTATATTGACTGTTTATCTTCTTTCTTCCACAGGTAGCAGCACACAATTTAGTGCTGAATAAAGAATGGAAAATCTTACTTCTTTCACTTCCGAATTTCTGCTGCTGGAATTCTCCCGAGTCCAAGAACTACAGATCCTACACTTCCTTGTGTTCCTAGCTTTGTACCTGACAGCCCTGATGGGGAACCTTTTCATCATTGTGATAATAGCCATTGACTATCGCCTGCATACTCCAATGTACTTCTTCTTAATGAACTTGGCCATTTGTGATCTTGGTACGATTTGTGTCACTGTACCCAAATCCATGTTCAATTCACTCATGAACAGCAGGCTCATTTCCTATTCTGAATGTGTTTCTCAAGTCTTCTTTCTCCTCTTTTTTGAAACCTCAGATCTCATCATCTTGACAATCATGGCACATGACCGGCATGTTGCCATTTGTAGTCCTTTACAATATGAAGTAATTATGAACAGAGAGGCCTGCATTCAAATGGTAGCAATTGCATGGGGTATTAGTCTTCTTTATGCCACACTGCACACAGGAACTACCTTTTCAGTGACCTTCTGTTCCAATGCTGTTGATCAATTTTTCTGTGAGATACCCAGACTTTTGAAACTTTCTTGCTCTAACCTTTACTTAGTGGAAGTAGGCTTTCTCGCACTGTGTGCAGGTGCAGTTATTGGATGTTTTTCCTTCATTATTGCAACTTACGTGAGGATCTTCTCTGCAGTCTACAGAATTCCTTCAGTACTGGCACAGCAGAAAGCCCTCTCCACTTGTCTCCCCCACCTCCTGGTAGTCTCTCTGCTTATATCCACTGGCCTCTTTGTCTACGCAAGACCCCCCAGTAATATTTCCTCTACTTTGGATTTACTCCTTGCTGTTCTGTATGCTATAGTTCCTCCTATGTTGAATCCATTCATTTACAGCATGAGAAACAAAGAGATTCAGACTGCACTGTGGAGGTTACTGAATCTTAAGCACTTTTCTAACACTACCCCCAGATTAGTTACTAATTGTTGAGGTTGTGATATCTGTGCTTTATGAAAATCCCCTACCTACCACCTCACCCCACCCAGTTGTTAAATATGTTCGTATGAAAATGTTAGTAAGGTACATTTACACACTACCTTCTCACCTCTCACTGTTTATTTATTTAGAGTATTTGTATGCCATCCCATCACATAGCCTCGGGATGGCTCACTACCAAACATCTTCCCTGCACTGCACACGTTTGGGATTTGACCCACTATCTGCCTTCCATGGATAGACGGCTGAACTCCTAGAAGGTTGCTTGTGAGGAATCCTCCATGTATCATGGATCACCCCATTCAGCAGGGTCCACCAATGTTATGTGTAGCACTTTCAGTGCACCAGACAGAATGCGGTGGGGAGGAGGCAAAGCTTGATGAGGTGCCTATGTCTAAATCTAGATCCAACCTATTTTCAATTCCTGATTCTTTAAAAATATCCTATTATTTTCAACTAAGTGTCCACAACATAGATGGAAAACACTACAATCTAGCCAGACTATGAATTTTATTTGAGGTACAACTGTGAATCAGTGCTCCATTTCAAAATGAAACTGGTGCCACAGAGCATTAAATGGTGGGGTAATTCAGCATGTACCAGTACAGCATGACCACAGCAATATTATCATGCAATGATGCTGCAGCCTTTTTGCAGCTGGAGACCACAAGTGCAAGTCCAAAAGAGTAAAGCTAGGGCCTGACTCCAGCCTGACCTCGAATACAGTAATCAAAGGGACAGTGGAAACTGGTTATAGCCGCCATGAAAGTTGCAAATGTGCAGGGAGTAAGAATATGGCAAGCCTGCGTGAATATCAAGCAGATAAGAAATAGACATGGGAAATATCTGGTCCTTGACAGAAGAAAGGACTCTTTCTCCAGCATGGGAGGGGGTGCATACATTGATGTATCGATGTATTAGATGTGTATTAGTTGACCTAATTGGTTACCTAGGGTATAAAACGCATGTACTGGGGTGCAACTTTTGAGACACTGCTTTGGGCTGAATGTCACCTTTTGTCTCCCTTTATTCTATAGTGCACTAGAATAAAGCTGGTTTTGGTTCTAAGTGTCATCTCAGGCTCTGTTTGACTTTAGGTCTGGGGTCCACCCGGGTTTGCCCCAGCTGTTGACTGGCTGAGTCCAGTAACAGTAAGGCCACCACAGCGGGAACAGTCACATCAGTACTTTCAGTCTACTTTTTGGGATGAGGGGTACAGTGCAGTAATGGCCCATATATTTTTGGCCTCCCACCTATGGTCACAAAATGTCAGAGCATGGCAAGTCAGTAATGTTCTAAAGCAGAATATGGATGGGATCATCAGGACATGTACACCCTTCACTTACAACACAGACACTTAGAGCAGGAGGAGAGGTATCCACTTCTGACTTCTGCTTCTCCGCCTCTGTCTCAGTTTTGAGCTTTCCCATAACTGCCTTCCAGTTTATGTGTGGATTCAGCAGGTCCTGATTTGGAAATTTTGCAGTCCTATCTAATCAAATTTCTCACCCATCCCTTCCACATACAAGCCCCAAATTGCCCATGGAAACAGAGGGAAGAGGGAAATATTTCATTTCTCCCATGGTGTTACCTAGGTTACCTGTAGCAGGACTAAGAAGGAAAAAGGCAGAAGGCCGAGAACAACCCATGGAGAGCTCAGTCATCTGTGCTGCTTATCATGGATAGTTTGCATGACAACTAGCCTGCTCTGGCTTGCAGTCTGGGTGGCTTAGTGTGACATATGAATAAACCTGTGCAGTTTGCAAAGGATGCTGTGGCCAGAAATTTGTACCTGCCTCATCCCTGTTTGTATATTTTGGTAACATTTCCGTATTTGGAATGTTCCAATGATAATTATTTTTTCAAGTAAGTTTGTGGAGGATGAACAAAATACTGGGGAAGGAGGAAAAAACTCTCAGCAACTTTTCCTGATCTACTGTTGTTACACTCCTGGGAGCAAGTCTCTGAGCAGCCAGAGAAGACATGAATAAAAAGTCTTTCTCATGCACACAATATCTGAAAGTCAGTATGGATAGCAAGAAACTACAGACACAGTGCCAGGTTGCAGCAGATGAATAAAAGTATTTCATTCAATAAATGTTGATGCCTAACAGCACAAGAAGGGGAATTTAATCTACCATTAAGCAGATCTAATCAAGAACAGTAAGTAAATGGCTTCAAATGTTTGTTTCCATTATTCTCATCACTCTGATTCCCATGCCCCCATCTGTGCGCTTGTCTATTCATCCAGGTTTCTTTCCATCCATATACCCTTCTCATCTCAGTATCATTTTAATCTCCCATCACTCTCCCATCTGCTAAGGTCAGGCCCAATTTGTACACTTCTTCATTTCCTTGCTAACCAGTGAGATCAATACTTCTGCTTGACCGGATCTCCACATTACAATGATAGGCTATGAAAAAGGTTTCCATGTGAGGCCATCAGATCACATGGCTGCTCCTCTCTAGAGCCAAGTAGTCCCAGATTACAGTAACCACACAATTCAGTGAACTGTTGAATGCATGGGTGCTGCAATGGAAGGGTCAGTGTGCACATGCATAGAACTCTCTGTCCTACACAGTCCTTGAGATGCCTCCTTTGGAAACTATTGCACTATTCCATGCTGCTAGGGGATCTTGTTCCCCCACACCTGCCACAGCTCACAGGCAGGGTCTCCTGACTCTCTGTGTAGCAATTCCAGGAGGTTGAAGAGCCTGCCCTGGAAAGGTTAAGTGGGAACATCCACTTCCCTGTGTCTCAGATCCAGGGTGAAGGTGGTTCCAACCATAAAAGTGTTACACACACAAGGTCACTCTTCTCTCCAGGTTTAACGAATTCAGAGATGCCACAGCACATGTCTTCATAATATTTAGGAAGTCACTTTAAACAATTTTAATCCATTGGTCAATCTTGGGGAGATCTGCACTAGAGTCCACTCTGTGCATGGAGGAACACAGTTCCAGTACTGATGCAAAACACCTTTATCACAGTTGAGGCTCATGCTTATGAATGCAGCATGGTTGAAAATGTGAGCTATTGTCACAGAAAAATGCAACTGTGGAAGATGTCAAAGGAGCTGAAGCAGTAATGTTTGCAGGGAAATGACCCTTTGGGGCTTATTTGGTTTTCAATTTGTTTTTTCAACTCAATTCACTATGTGGAGGTTCAAAAGCGTGAAAGAACAGATTTATTTTAAAAAGAGAAAATATAACTGACAGCTCCCCTGCTCCATCACAAAATAGTTGGGAACAAGAAAGGGTACTGCTCCTTCTCCTGTCCTCCTACAGGTAGCAACACATAATTTATACTGAACACAGAATGGCAAATCTTACTTCTTCCACCTCTAATTTTCTGCTGCTGGAATTCTCTTCAGACCGAGAACTGCAGATCCTACACTTCTTTGTGTTCCTAGCTTTGTACCTGACAACCCTGGTGGGGAACCTTTTCATCATTGTGATAATAGCCATTGACTATCGCCTGCATACTCCAATGTACTTCTTCTTAATGAACTTGGCCATTTGTGATCTTGGTACGATTTGTGTCACTGTACCCAAATCCATGTTCAATTCACTCATGAACAGCAGGCTCATTTCCTTTTCTGAATGTGTTGCTCAAGTCTTCTTTTTTTTCCTCTTTGAAGTATTAGATTTTGTCCTCTTAACAATCATGGCACATGATCGCCACATTGCCATTTGCAATCCACTACAGTACGAAATAAACATGAACAAACAATCCTGCATACACATGGTAGTTATTACATGGATCATTGGTCTTTTTTATGCCATTTTACATACAAGTGGTACCTTCTCCATTAGGTTTTGCTCCAATACTGTTAATCAATTCTATTGTGAAATACCAAAACTACTGCAACTGTCTTGCTCTAACCTGTATCTTATTGAAATGGGACTGCTTGTAATTAGCTCAGGTGCAGTTATTGGATGCTTTGCCTTCATTATTGCTACTTATGTGCAGATCTTTTCTGCAGTCTACAGAATCCTTTCCATACAGGGACAGAAGAAGGCCCTCTCCACTTGCCTCCCTCACCTCCTGGTAATCTCTCTGCTTACATCCACTGGCCTCTTTGTCTATGCAAGACCCCCCAGTAATATTTCCTCTACTCTGGATTTACTCCTTGCTGTTCTGTATGCTATAGTTCCTCCTATGTTGAATCCATTCATTTACAGCATGAGAAACAAAGAGATTCAGACTGCACTGTGGAAGTTAGTAAAACACTAACTTAACAGCAGCAATATTAATAACAGCAAGGAGTGGGAAAATAAAAGGTGAATTTTATTTGTGAACAAGGTCTATTAAGTCTTTTGAATGGTGCCAAGGACTGACAAACCAATCACGTTGTTCTCTTATTATATCTAAGATGCCCTCAAGTCTCAACTTGCTTCTGCCTCCTTCTGCTAGCTCTACCCCATTTAGTGCAAAGCCATCCTGGAATTTATGTTGTAAGTAGAAACCATGGAATACAGGGGTCTGCCTACCTGTGAAGCTCTTCTGCCTTCTCACCTGTTGCTTCTCTGGCAACCTTTTGCCATCATTTCAGTGGCTACTCCATCCGAGGTCTGCTGCTGTCCAGCTCGTGAAAAAGAAATTGTGTTCACCACTTAAATTACTGCCTCCTTCAGTGAGAGGAAGGGGAGGGGAGAAAGACCAGTTTGCCATTACGCTGGTGCTGCCTGCCAGAAGATGAGGCACTGCCCATTATGGCTTCAAACTGCTCTGCCCACCTAGAGGAAAGACTGCCCATTGTGACCTCAGGCCAATGCTAGCTTACATGAGAGCACTGGCCATTGTGACCTCACATAGGATGCTGCCTGGTCAAATAAATAAATAAAATGTACAGAATTCAGATCACATCTGGAGGAAGGAAAGGGGTCAGGCTGGATGGCCCAGGAGGCCCCTTCTGACTCCCTTTCTTTCTAAGTTTCTGTTATCAGAAAATGGCCACAAAAATCACACTGACTAGGTAAGCATGTGTAGCTAGAAAAAAAAGGATTCTACAGTAAAATTTTGTTCCAAAGTAGACTCCATTCAAGTTAACATTTCTTCATTGATCTCTGAATGTTTACTTTTGATCTAAATTGGTAGATAATTTTGTTACATATTAAGAAGTGGCCCTGTATCTTTAGGCACTGGGCACTGTATTGCAGCCCTGTGTCCAAGAAGGTTGGGGACCATTTAACCGGATGATTAACAACACTGCAAACCATGCTGATAGGAAACTCCAAGAGCTTCCTCCTTCACCATGTGATGTGGATCAACCGAAATGTTATCCAGCCCTGCAGAAGCCCAAAGTAGTGATCTCATCATGACAAAGACCCTATGATGCATCCAGTGTTATCTGGACTTAAAGCAGGGGCAATGAAATGAACAGAGCAAAAGTTTAACACTGAACAGAGGCTCCGAGAGATATGTTAGGCATTGCTTCACTTCTAGATTTGTAAGCTGTATGGAGGGTCTTCTGGAGGGAAAATGGGATAAAGTTTGTTATGAAAAGCTTCCAAGTGATTTGAATAGACTTTTGCCTAGAGCTATCCACACAAAACAGACAAAAGGAGGTAACAAGAATATGGCTAATATAAAAAAGACCATTCACACACAAAAGATGGTTACCATTTATTATAATTTAGCATGAACATTAAAATAGCATTAGAAGTTAATAGAATTACAAAGTTTCCCTGATGCAGTACTTAAAAATATCAAATAATCCCGGAGTCATTTTTATGCATCATACCCAAGTTTATATAGAAGGAAGCCAAAAGAAACTCAGATGAGAACTCAGTTCTCTGCTTCTTGCTCTTCCCCATGAATAGGGGGAAATTATGCAAAATAAGCAATTGTGCATGACTGACTTCATTTGCATAATGCACACAGGTCACAGGGTTGGTCCTTTTTGGCAAAAAACATTTTAAAAAACCACTATTTGATCTTTCCTTCAAGGAGCTCAGGTGGTATAGAAGATGCTGACTTCTATACAACATGTAACATCTATACATCTTCTCTACAAAATTCTAACAATGGCCCTGTGGTTAAGGCTGCGCTGAAATGGCAGGCCCACTGTGAGCTGCATGGAGAAATGGGAGATTTAAAACTTTCAACCTGCATTATGGAATTTCTCAATGATCCCAGACTCACATTCTTTTGCTAATTTACAAAAGTGTAATTATACTTTTGCCTGGGGTTATAAAAAGACCTTAAATGGAAGTAATGCTATATTTCATATTGATGCAAGTTGAAGGTTTAAAACCTTGGTCTCCCTGATGCTAGTCTGACACTCTGAATATCATTGACATTTACATAGGAAATTTGCTGGTAAACAAGACCTGCTTTCACCTCTCTATTTCACATTCTCTTAGTGTTTAAGATCCACCTACCCTCACAGGATTTTCCTATACTCCCACTTTATGCTTCTATCTGGGAAGCAATGATAGGGAATGATTGTGGGAGGAGGGGATAATATTGCAGTACATGGATTGCCATTCCCAAGAACAATCCAAGAATCCCTGGATTTCACCCACACTAAGTAAATGAATGTGCAAGGGGATGGTTGCATGTGGATTATGGAGAAGCACATTTGAAATGTGCAAAAGCCTTTCTTCCTATTATAGGATAATACATCTGTCAAAGCTTGTGTGAATAGGATTGCTCTCGGGAGCAGAATAAGGCACCTGCTTTTCTGGCAAAGAGGCATGAGAATTGTCAGATGGTTTGGAAAGCACAGACACAGGATTAGATTGGCTTGGAACATCATGATCTGTATCGACACTTGAAGAGGGAGAGGAAGGCTGGTCACACGGGTTGGCAACACAGTCTTGAAGAGAAGTTGCCGAGTACGGAGGTTTTGTCAAGTCCATGGCAGTACTCACACTGTTAGCACATTGCTGTTGATGCACTAAGGCCGGGGGCTCTGAAGGTAGACCATCTGAATCACTGCAGACACCAAACGTGGACAAAGGCTCTTGGGATAGGCTGCTGGCAGTGTCCGGAGGAGACAGCAGTGCGTTTGCCAGACTCGTGTCCAAGGTGGCCACGACATTGTTCCCATTAGTGTCTTGTTGCTGAGGTGCCAAGGCTGAAGGGGCAGTGGGCAAGTCCTCAGAATTGTTGTTGATGCCTGATGGAGCACAGGGGAGCTGACAGGATGGGCTGATGGTCGAGCCCAGAGGATAATGTGGTGAGCATACTGGTTTTGTGCTTGCGACAGTACTCCCATTGATGCATGGCTGCTCAGAAATGAAGACTGAATGGTCCAAAAGCTGAACGTTGGAACTACTGTTCAAAGTAGAGGGAAAATTGACAGGCTGTGGGGATGCCTTGCTGGGAGCAGACTGCACACTGAATGACTGTGCGCTTAAGCGGGGTAAAGGAGAGCTCACATCATCATATTGTTCCTTACAGCTGGATGGTAGAAGCTCAGAAGGGTTTCTGTTCAAAGATGCAAATGTGGAACACTTATCTGGTGCAGAAGCAGACGAGTGTTGCAGATCACCCAGCTGCATAGGGTTGTCACATTCTGGAGGCTGGACTGTCTGGGATTTCTGCAGGCAGATGGCAGTTGACTTTTTGGATGGTGAAGAGACAGGTGTCCTTGCAGAAAGCCCATGAGCGGGGCTTTGGACACTTTGCAGACTTCTGGACGGTTTCTGGCTCTGATAAAATGGATCCAGTACTGGAGCAGCATGAACATATACCCTTTGATTGGTAACTTGGATGGATGAAATTGGCTGAAACAGCTCAACTGAGGGCACAGGCTGGATACAATAGGAGCTCTGCAACACAGGTTTTGGAAACTGGATTGTAGAGGTGTTTTCAGAAACTGGAGGAAATGATGCTGGGTGGAGAGGGGGGATCTTTGGGATTTCCAGAAAAGACATGAGAGGAGGGTGCATTAGTTGATGCATGCAAATGGCAGGATTAGCAGAAACAGACCTAGAAGCCAGAGCACCATTGCCAGAAATGCCAGGCTGAGATTCAATGCTGAGCAGCTTCATACTTTCATCCCATCCTGCAGCTTGGGAATCTTGAGGGCAAATCACAGGTGAATGTGGGACTGGCTTGGAGCTGGTTTTCAGCTGCTTTTGCACAGAAGTTATAGGTTTGGGTGCTTTCTGGGGCTGCAGCAGCACATGATTTGCTTCGTGGATTGTGGCTTCAAGGCAGTTAGAAGACTGGAGAAGAGAGAGATGGGGCTGAGGGACAGGCACATTGTGATGTGAATGCTTAAGGCAAGAGTTGGGGGCCTCTGCAGGGTTGGCATCAGGCAAAGAATGACCAGGAACAACTGTAGCCTCTTTAGGCAGGTCTACCTGACCTGAGCAATCGACTCCACTCCTCCTGTGGCTTTCCCTAGGAGCTATAATTTTTGGTGCTCTCAGGGATTGACGCGGATGGAAAAGGACGCCATCCTCACTGCCAGGCTCTCTGGGTTGGTCTGAAGCCCAGGCAGAAACAGGACGGGGCCGAGGTACCACTGGAACTGTAGGAGAAGAATGCTTGAGAACTGTTCCCGATTTGGTTGTGGACACAGTTTTGGGCAAAGAGGGACCAGGAAGCATTGCAGCGTTTTCCACTTTGGAAGAGGCAGGCTGACCTGAAGAGACACAAAAGAATTATGGATGAAATAGATGGGAAAAGAAAAGTGCAGGAGAAAAACAGGCGAAAGGAAGCTTCTTCCTGAGGCTTCATATGGAAAGAGAGGAAACATTGGAGAAATAGTAGTCTTGGGCCTGTTGAAGAAACATGGAGCACAGTGCCCTCCTGTGGCCAAACCCAAAACTGCAATACTGATATCAACATGCAACCCCAGGTGTGCTTCTATTACAAAAAATGCAAGCCATAGTCAAGTGACTCCAGGCAAGCTTCTCATTTGTTCTTTACTCTTCTATTGTCTCCACCTGGCTTTTCTTAGCAGTTCTTTGCCTGGGGCATTTCCCATACTTTGCTTAATGGAGTTCTCCTCCAACTTGGGACCTTCCAGATATGTTGGACTACAACTACCATCATCTCCTTGACCAGTGGTCAAGCTGGTTAAGGATGATAGGTGTTGTACCCACTTGGGGAAGTCTGTTTTAAGGATATGATCTTAGAATTTCACTTCCACAGCATAGTCCCAATTCAGCTCAAAGATTTTGCTGCCAGTAACTAAGCCTTAGGAGAGGCACTTCAACCTTTTGGAAGAGAGGAAGAGTGCACAAAAGTGGGGAAGCCACAAAATCCTGGGAGGATGGAGGAAAAGACAGCGCTTTCTCAGGAGCCCTAGAGGTTCTGCAGTCCTCTTCTACTGTCCTTTCCATCATACACTGGCACATCACACAGTCTGTTCTCTCTAATTCTTCCCTGAATGACCTGCTACACTCACACAATTTAGGACAGTGGAGGCTGTTTCTTTCCCCCAAGATAGCTCTTTTTGCTGGTTGATGCACAAAGCTTCAATCTTCAGCTGAAGACCGAGTGCCCAGCTCAGGGGTCTCCAACATTTTTGGATGTGGGGGAATTTAAGAAGCTGCTGTGGACGCCACCAGAAATTGCCTGCCTTGGAGTCTTCATGTTGCATCTTATGAATCTTAGGCTGAGTCTTTTTCAACAAAAGCATTTGTTTCATGCCCACTGAACACCAACAATATCTCTTTAGTAAGAGACTGCCTAATTCAGCTTATAACTGGTGGTGCAATCAGCTAATGCTTCCCTTAACAATATGCTTTGGTAATACTCAGCAACTCAGTAGTTGCTTCTTTTGGAAGTTTATTACATAAACACATTTTGTACTGGAATAATCTTTAATATTCACTGATACACATGCCCCCTTAAAATATTCACCTACTTTCTGGAAACTAACAAATGGAAGAAAAATGGATTCTCAATGCCCTTTTGACAGGTTACAGAACTGGAAAGATAAATATTTGCCTCCTATAATGCAGTGAAATGAGGACCTTACAATGTTTTTGATGGATGAATGGATGACATAGAGATGCCAACTCCAAACAGATGTATTTGAATATCTGATCTGCTTCTGATTATCTCTATATGAGTGCTAGCAAGAAAGCATTTCAGACACATGCGTATGCTTATATTAAAAAACCCAGATATAATCAAGAAAACGCTTGCATGTCACCTGTTGGGGACCCTGGTCTAGTGCCTACTGAGAGAGACTCAAGTGAGCACACATGAAGGCACTTACCAGATTTTGCTGGAGACATCTGCTGTGAAACTGGCAGCAACACAGTTTGGACACCATAGCCCTTCAGACAAACCACATCTGGCATCTCCAGAAGACGGTGCTTGGCAGAGGAAGCAGTGCCTAGTGGCAGATGTTGCTGATAGATAGCACTGTAGGCAGCACGGAACTGGAATAGGGACATGCCCTTCGGATGCATGGCTAGGATTCGGCTCACCTGCCACTTCAGTTCATTCAGGTCCTTTGGGGGATGGGGCTTGGTCAGGCTGGGTTCACTTGGCCGGCGGGCATCTGATGGGCTCGGTGCCTCTTTCGCTGGTGGCAGACCACCAGACCGGCATATGCTCGGCCACTGGGGTGGGATGCCAGAGACAGACTGGGAGGGATTCTTGTCCGCTGAAGCAGCATGGGACTCCCGAAGGGATGGAAAGTTTGAAATCACTGGTGATTCAATGTCCTTGCTGATGCGGAGACAGCTTTCTGTTGGTTGGGACACTAAATCAACAGCAACAGGGCAACTTGGAATTGGAAATTTACTTGCAGAGATATCATCAAAGGTGAATGAAGCTGTAGGCACCTCTCTAAACCCTAGGGAAGGAGAAGGACTGTATCACTAGAGAGTGAGGTAGACAAGAATATTGGCAATGCAAATTCCCCAATGTAGCCAGCAAAGTGCATGGCATCTGTATGTGCATACATGTGTGTGTATCAAATGATACATGGATGCTAACTTCCTGCTCCCAGCCATTTCTGTGTCCCTCCACATCTCACACTGACATGGCTGCCAAAAAACATGCTTCTGAAAACCACCAGAGTTCTGCTTGTAAACATGGCTCTCTCACACCCCAGGATGTGCCACTTGGCCAGCACAGGTGAACCTCCTTTGACCTGAGACCCCATCAGATGCTTTGGACAACAACTCCAAGGCTTCCTGTCCATTGGCTATGCTAGTTGGACTGTCCAAAACATTTGGCACTGTGAGCAGAGGACAAGTACAGGTAATGCTGAGCAAGATGGACCAAGAGTCTAACTTGTTATAAGCCAGCTTCCTGGTTTTTGCCTTCCTTTCATGAGACTCATCCAAGCAAAGGAATATAAATAAACCCTATGGGTTCCCCGGCTGGTGTCTTTGTGTTTTGCACATTTTCCCTTTGTCTCCTGTCTTCTCTCTGTGTTCTTTATCTGTATTCTAAAGTCTGCTAAAATCCTTCAAAGGGCAGCTTGACCCAAAAAGGATCCATGAGCAAAAAAATGTGCTATGTATTCTAACTGAATATACAAGAATTACCTAATTCTCTTTTCATGAATTACCAGTCACGGACCTCTGGCCTGATAAATGCCAAGACACTGAAATGGGACATACAAATGACAAAATGGGAGAGAGGACCCCTGTTGCTATCCCTTGATCCAGCTGGATCTAACTATGAAGCATGTTACAGAGCTCTGCCTATATTTTCTAACTGATACATTTGTTTAACAGAATAATGAATACTGTGATCTTTCAATATTTAACAGTGAAGTCTGTAACTGTTAGGAAATGATTATGTGCTACATTTTATATAAAGTGAACCAAAGAATTCCAGTGCTCATCAGTCCCAGCCAGCATAGCCAAAGATCTGGGATGATGGGACCAATTATGCAGAAATATTTGGTTCCCCACCTCTTATAAAGGATAATCTAAACTGTCAGGAAGCAGTATTGCTACCATAGGTGTCAACAAATAACCCAACGTTTCCTGGAAAAGGTAGATTTCCCACCAGCTACACTAAATAATGAATCTTCATTAACCAGCGCAGTTAAGTTAGCTTAATTTGTCTGCCAGGATGAACTGTCTCCATCAGTTTGATTGTTGCTGTCCTTTGCCATCACCCCTACATGGATTCTAATATGAAGAGGCCAGCTTAGAAACTTACCTGGTGCAGCATTTACTGACTCAGCCTTTCTTGATGGCCCCAAGAACTGCACAGGGGCATTACTCGAAGCAGGGAGGGAGACAACAGCAGGACCTAGTAAGGAGAGCAGAAAAAGCCATTATTAATCAGCAAAGACCAGAGAATCATAGAATAGTAGAGTTGGAAGGGGCCTATGAGGCCATCAAGTCCAACCCCCTAATATTTGCATGATTCACCAAAATAAAACAAGAAGACTAGATAACCACACAACTGAAATTAGCTACAGATCACAGTGGCTGGGTTGATTTCAACAGTCGAAGCATACAAAATCTTATGCAGAACAGCAGCAAAGGTTTTACAAAAAATGCAACATTATTTTTTGTAAAAAGGAAGGGAACAGTAGCCGACTCTCTGGGTTGCACAGTAGCCCAAAATATTTTCACAAGATCACTTAAATCAGTGAACTAAGTGAGGAACTTGATCAGCTTCTGTCAAGCTGGTACCCTTCAGATGTGTTGGATGAGAGATGATACCCGACAGCTGGAGGTCACCAGCTTGCAGACAGTTGAACTAGGTATTGCATGAGAAATCCAGGTTTGCCAGTCCCATACTTATTTGTAAAAAGAAGCATGGAAAAGAAAAGCAATTGCACAGGAATTGATGGGTGAGAGAGGATCACATTAAAGGGTCTGACCATACATGAATGGCATAATTTGAGGTCATCCTCTGTGTTTATTCCATCACCATGACTCCCTCTATCCTGCCATTTAGGTGAAAGCATTACAACTAATGTAATTTGTATATTGGCTTTTCCAGTATTGGGATCATGTTTTTTGAATTCCTATTTTTTTATGAAAGCAGACCATCGGACGCATGCAGCTTGTAAGACAAGCATCGCCCACCCCTAGAGGAGCTGACAAGACGGAGAAAGTGAGGCTGGAATTCAAGGGAAGGCTTTGAAGATGGATGTTCAATTTAAAAAATTGATAACTAATGGGCAGGTAGCTTGTTCCAGGCTGCAGGGAGCAGAAATGCCACCAATATTGGAAGGCTTGCTGAAATTATGAGGAGGTAAATAGATTGTACAGATTTTTTCCAGCTGTCAACTTACACTTGCTGCTTGTTTCCTTTTGAACCTTTGTACAAGGCTGTTTGCTGTTTCTGTCTTCTCTTCCTAAGACAGAGAGAAATGAGACAAATCCATGTTTAAAAGAGTCAGTATTAACTCTGGAGCTGTGCTAACATTCTGATGGTGACCTTCACAGCTGACCATCAGCTTACTTATGGATAACCTTCAGAAGCTGCATAGTACCCTTCCAGTGCAAACCAGAGACAGCCTCAATGCGACGGATGACCGGTTCAAAATTGCAGGAGGTTATTTTACTCAATGAACGGCCAAAGATTTGCTAGAAAGACATTGATTTTGAAAACCCTTGGCAGAGTAGAAAGTGGTAAATGATATTGATAGCTTTTTCAATATAAGATATTCCAATTTATTGCCCTGAGACTGCAGGTGAACACCCAGGAAAAGAACCAGCACATGAGTTTCCTCTTTTCCTTCTCAATCCTATATGTACGGTTTTTTAGTCAACATGACAAGGGAAAGAGACAACCTGCACATTCCCACCGAGGTCAGGCTAAGGGCAGAAACTGCAGAATGGGCGTTTTTGGTGGTGGTCTCCAAACTGCACTTTTAGACTGAAATCTGGACAGCAGGGGCTGCTTTATTACTGATCTTTGTATTATCGCCCTGGAAAGTTCTTTCAGCAGAAAGAGTGGGATAAAATGCTTTATAAGAATCACAGCTGAATCACGAACTAGAATTTCATCAAGGCTTGGTGAAATGACCCCTACAACCTCATCATAAAGTATGTCATTTCTTACATACTTCAGCATTTTTTTATTTTTTTTTATTTAGATTTATATCCTGCCTTTTTCCTACAAAGGGCTCAAGGCAGCTTACATTATCTCTCCTCCTCCATCTTATCCCCACAACAACAACACTGTGAGGTAGGTTGGGCTGAGAGACTGTGACTGGCCCAAAGTCACCCAGTTGGCTCCATGGCCGAGCGGGGACTCGAACCCAGATCCTCTGAGTCCCAGTCCCATGCTCTTAACCACTACAC